TGGGAGACAATCGTCAACTGTAGACCCGGGAACACAAATCACAAGGAACGCAAAGCGACATCATCATCATCATCATCGTCACCATCATCATCATCGTCGTCAACATCATCATCATCATCATCATCATCATCATCATCATCACCATCACCATCATCATTGCCATCATCATCAACATCGTCATCATCACTACCAACAACATCACCACCATCAACATCAACACCAACATCATCATCACCATCATCAACATCACCACCAACATCTATATCATCATCATCAACAACAACGTCAACATCACCATCATCACCATCATCATCATCATCACCAACATCATCACCATTATCATCATCATCATCATCATCATCAACATCACCATCGTCAAAATTATCATCAACATCGTCAACATGAACATCATCACCATCATCATCATCATCATTAACAACATCATCACTATTATCAGCATCAACGTCGACATCACCATCATCATCGACATCATCAAAGTCATCGCCATCCACATCCTCATCGGCAACATCAATATCATCATCATTAACATCATCACCATCATCATCAACATCATCACCGTCATCATCATCATCATCATCAACATCATCATCATCATCATCAACATGGTCAACATAATCATCATGATCATCATCATCGACATCATCATCATGACCATCATCATCAACATCGTCATCATCGCTACCAACAACACCGCCATCACCACCAGCGCGCAGTCGCACGGTCACGCAGTAAGAGGCAAACGTAACTGCCCCACCCATCCCCCCCCCCCTCAGGACGCAGTCGCACGGTCACGCAGCCCCACCCCACCCCCCCCAGCCCCAATACGTAGTTGCGCCGCCACGCAGTAAGCGGCGATCGCATTCCAGGAGGCTCCGACTCGCAAGTTACTTAGGCCGTATGAGCTAAGGAGGTTTTTTGTGTCGCGAGGACAAGATAACTCAGAGCTTGAAATTTCACGAGTTTTCACGGCTTTTTCACGGAGTAGTAGCGGCCTTTCAGTTTCCCGCGCGAGTTATTACGGCCGTTAGACCGAGCTTTCACGGCTTTACGGGGGCCAACGAGCGCAAGTCGCCGAGGACATCTTAGCTCAAAAAGCCAAGGTAACTTGGGACTCGGAGCCTCCTGGTTGCCCCCTTCCCCCAGCCCCAGGGCGCAGTTGCACGGGCACGCAGTAAGAGGCGAACGCAACTGCCCCACCCCACCCCCCCCCCCCACCCCACGGGTGCCGCAGGATAGCCCCCCCATGTGTTCGAAAATGACCCACTCTGTGATCGAAAATGATCCAGGACATCGGTGTTTGAAAATGATCCAAAATCGGTGTTCGAAAATGATCCCCCTCCCCTCAAAGAATGGTTGACCCAATTTGGATGATGACATTCCTTAGGTAAACCATTTTCTTCCGCTTCAGACCTCCTTCTTGGACTGTGCGGCCGCGGACGCATCCGCGGCTGAGGCGGAGTTCTTTTTTTCTCGATTCCGGTTGGAGTGGGCTCGTTATCTCGAAGGGATTTGCGGGCCGGAATGGGATTGTCTCACACTCCCTGAGTTCCTGGACTTGAGTGACTTTTGCGTTTGGACCATTTTAGAGGTAAACACAAAGTTCTTGGAGTTGTTTGGCCACTCGATCGGAAGTGAGTTGTGTGCTTATTGTCTGCCTTGAAGAACTCGCTTGCCCAAAGTTGGGGGTTCTCCTTGGTCCATTTATGGCCAAAGATAACCGGGTCTTGAGGGCAACTGAGATAAGTAGGCCTTCCAGTTGTATCCCAGGTCCGTTGTTCTCCTCGTTGTTCCGTGAATCAAACCGCTCTATTCCACGGCAGCGGGGATTTTAACCAACCTCATTTGCTGAGGCCTAGTTCTGTCTTGGATAATACAATGTCTTGCACTTAATGTGGGAGCTATTTAAACCGAATGACAAATTAAACGTCTACATCTAGGGGTTTTGGCTCAATCAGAGTTGGGTGTGTTCTTTTTTATGGGAGCCCCACAAATGGCTGGTTTCCATGTCGTGTCCTTTCAAAACCAATCAAAAAAAGTGCCCTCAACAAAAGCAGAGAGGGGTACGCATCTCTCCTAGAACTTTTGTTTTGTTGTTTTTGTTCGATTTCTCGAGATTTTTTTCGGTTTTGGGTTTTCAAGTAGGTAAATCACATGAAATCATCACAAAAGCGCTTGGGTGCAAAAACCCGGGGCCCAGGACGTACCCTTCTGTCAACACAACACACCCCTTTTGAGCTGGCCATCGGCAACGCCACACGCATTCCGCGTTTCGCGGCGAGCTGAGCCGAACGAGTTTCCGGCGCTGCTTTAAGCGCTTGGCTTTGGGTTGTGAGACGTGTCCTAGGTAGGGTTACTAAAAAAGACTACAGAAAGAAAAAGGTACCCTTATTCTCCTCCTCTCTACTGGAGGACCTAGTGTCTCAAAATAGGCACCCCTCCAAACAGGTGGCATTCCCTTCAGTATTTCCTTTGGTCTTCGCTTTGGTTTCCCTTTGGTTTCCTTTTGGTGGGTTGTGTCTCAGAATTTCCTTTCCCTTTCAACCAAGCCGTTTCGAAACGGGTACCCAACAGAGAGACCCTTTGGAAGGCTCGCGCAACTGATTCCGCCACTTGGGCCACTAGGGATGGGCACTGAGTTGTCTCACAAGGGGTGGATTTTGGGTTGCGCCTGCAGTTCCGAATGTCTACATGTGCGGCGTTTGAGGCAACCCGAATAGTATAGTGAGTGATTCGTGCAGATGTGTGTGTGTGTGTGTGTCAGAGAAGCAAACTAGCAGGCATACTACGGAAGCAGGGATTCGTGCTTATTTGTGCATGCATGGACAGCTGCGCAGCCCCAATGTTTCGGCCCTGCTGGGTCCTGGATCACAAGGCATGGTCATTGCAGGTTTTTTGTTTCTTCCCCCTCCGTCGCCGCGGGACAGGTTCAAGCGGCCAGCAACATATTTGCATCACATCCGCCGATCAGCCTCTCGGAAGCCGTCCCCAGGAGACTTCCAGCTGGAGAGTTTGCAGACGCTCTTGTGGAAAAGTCTTTGTGCTGCTGCCAGAGGTATGAGTCCAGGAAATCCCCGCTTCCTCCGCATCCCCGCCAATTCGCTCACCCAAGTGTGGCGTGTGTGTGTGTGTGTGTGCGTGTGTTTGTTTAGCCGCGTTTCAGGTTGGCTTGCAGACAAAAGGAAAGCGAAACAACTTTGGGGCTCCCGCTAAGCACTGCGCACACCTGAGTTCCAGGGCCCAATCGCCTGCGCCTATATCCAGGCAGCAGGCTGCGCTTCGCCGCTTGTTTGATGCCAAGGAACCATCGCTAGAAAAGCCAGGGGCCCGAATACAAACCCAAACCACAAGAAAGTTGAATCCTTTGGTTCAGTTCCATTCGTCGCCGGCGTTCGTTTCCGTTTCAGGCAGATGTGAAACGCCTGGCCTTGCATCAGCTCTTGGCCATCAGGCCAGTTGATGACACGGACCTCTCGGGCCGGGAATGGGCCTTTCTGTGGGTGGTTGCGAAATAAATTTCGCATCAATTGAAGCCATCAAAAGCCACTGTTTGGGAAATCGAATCAGAAACCAGGGTTTCTGAAAGGTGGCGCAGAACTTGGTCCATCCATTCGCATCAATTGAAGCCATCAAAAGCCACTGTTTGGGAAATCGAATCAGAAACAGGGTTTCTGAAAGGTGGCGCAGGACTTGGTCCATCCACTGTACCAGCGCCCGATTCGATCCCAACCACTGCTTGTTGGTTACCGCACCAGGGGAATGAGAGAAAGCAGGCAAAGTTGGGGGAGTGCTGGAACTTGTTTCTGTTTGCTTGAGGGGTACCGAAAGAAAAAGAGCAGATCTTGGCGGGGTGGTGGAAGGGTCCGCATTTTGACACCTACCCGCCCAATTGCTGCTAGGAGCTGGTAGTAAGACGCTAGTTATAAAGCTTCCGGAGATTTAAGAGTCGTCGGGGGTCAGAGTTTCTCTTTATCAGCCAACAAAACGTCGTTCTCTTTTTCCCCTGTCCACTGAGCCATGGCAAGAAAGCGAAATGCCAGTCGGTTTTCTCAAAGACTGGGCATCAATCTGAAAGGCTCTGTCTTCCGGAGCAGCTCTGTTTTCCTTGCTTCCCCGAGCTCTAAGAAAGGCTTCGGCTCCGCCCACTCGGCTCCGAGTGTCACAAGGGGACAAGTTACATTCCCTCGGGGCCCAAGACCTCTTTAAGGTCGTGGGGATAGGCTCTCATACTTAGGGCCCCTTGGGGCCCCTTGGGGCTCCTAGGGGTTGGACTCTTGCAGCACAGTTCTTGTGGCGACATCCTAGCCAAGTAGGACAACTGCAAAGAGAGCTAGCCGCCATCCAGTGGCGCAATGTTTGTTGATTTGCTTCCATTGGCTGAAGAATATATGTCGTATATTCCTTTTTAGGTTTTCAAGGGAACATCACTACTGGATTCTTTTGCAGAGGACTTCAGCATTTTGAGGCGGATGAGCGGCTTCGGTATGTTGTTCGGATGGTCACCAGGCAATGACGGATTTTTGTGTTTTTCTGACGGACTGAACACCACACGTCCGCACGCCGTGCAGCCAGCCAGCTTGAGTCCAGGTGGCTCCGTATGTGTCTTTGGATGTTTTGTTTGGACACTAGAACCATTGCCCGACTTCACTGACTTTATTACCTGTTTGGCCCCTTCACTTCACGCCTTAACCAACAAGAAGTCGCAACTTTGTTGTTTGGGTCTCAGCTTGATTGAAATGCTGGTCGAAGGCAATCCTGAATAATTCCTTTGGGTTGCAAAAGGGCTCCGTACAGGTTTCCGATGAAATCCATGGATTAGAAATACTAGATCATAGCCAACCCTTGTGTCGGAGCAGGGGACCAACGAAATCCTGCTTGGTTTCCCTATAAACCAACCTGCAGGTACCCTCAGAAGACAGCCATTTGAAGCAGCCTGTAGACAGGACATGTGCGCAACGGCCAGCCATGTGGCGGGCGCAGCCATGCAGGGCTACCAGGCTTATCAGACATCCAGAGTGGCCCGGCGGCAGATTCGTTTTTGTCGATACGGCTTTATAAACGGCCCGTTGCCACGGTGGGTCAGTAGATCCGTCAGGTGGATTCACCACTCTGCCAAGGTCATTGGGTTGAAGGACTTGTTTATTGGTGCTATCATAAAATGGTGCACATCTGTGCTTCATGCCCCAAAGTCAAGAGCTAGTGTCGTGTAAGCCTGAGGACGTACCCGGAAAGTGTGCCCCAGGGGCGCTTTGTCTTGGGAATCCAACCACTTTCCGACCAAACTTGCAGTTGTCCAATGGCACCTCTTTTCCTGTTTATTCTGTCAAAGTTGTCACGTCCGAAAAATGGGGGGGGTGTCCGTTTCGCTGCATGAGAAACCACGGGGCTTGTAACTCCTCGTTGTACCAAGACACGTTTTGGCTCAGGCGGGGCGACTTGGAAAAACTCGCGGTGAGTCGCGGTCTGCATTCTCCGGTCGTCTATCTTGGTGGCCCAGCCATCCGGTTCCTTAGCTTTTCAGTTTTTAGTTGGTTTGGCGGGTTAGTTTCCAAATCTAACCCGCTAAAATTAGACTTTTCGCAGGGGATCTGAAGACCGGCAGCCCAGCTAAGCACCCACACCCACGAAGAAGTCACGCGTGTTTGTTTTTTTGCACGACTTGCGTTGGATAAAATGTTGGACCCCATCGAGGTGTGGAATGTATTTGTAAGGGGTCCCTCTGGTGCCTTTCCGGGACGCCATGTTGTGGGCCCCCGAATTTGGAGATCAATGTGACCCTCTTTGAGGGTTCCCGTGTGTGTGGGGACGGTATTAAGCACCACCCCTGCGGATGGCAGTTGGACCAATTCGCTTTTGGCGAGCGGCTTGAGGAGTAAATGTCTAGGGACGTCGAACAAGTCAAGGTCGCATCGCCGATCTGCCGCGCCCATGTTGATGGCAGGCGAGAAACCCGAAAAAAACGGAGGGCATGCGGAGAGTTTGCCGGATGCTGGGAGTTTCAATCATCAGGCAAGTAGGTGATAACCATGCTTTTAAGGGGGCCATCCCCAGTGCCCCAAGTCAGTCTTATGGTTAATCACCTACTCACCTGACGTTGGCTGGACAAGTGCTTATCCAGATCTGCAGATTTTTGGGTGAACTGAGACCCACCGACCAGCCGGCGGACGCCAGCCGATTTTTGTCGCTGGCGCGGGGAAACACAAAAGCTCTGCTGGTTGATGTGGCCAACCCCATAAGTTGAGGCCAACTCTTCAGTTGCCAACTCTTCAGTTGGTTTTTAGCATCCACAGCAGCCTTGCTGCCGATCTTCGCGCGAAACCTACCTCTCCATGCCCCTTAAAAATGAGGTCATTACCCAAAATTAAGGGGTCATGGACCCATTTTGTGAAGGGTCATGGAGATTAGGTATAGTCTTTTCGTTTGGAGGTTTGAGCACATCCAAGTGCGACGGTTGGCGGCGGGGCAGCGTTTCGTCGCCTGCCGTCTCTGCCAGGCGGAACGCGGAGGTCACCTTCCGGCGGCGGCCGCTGTGGCGCTTGGCGCAGCTTTTGGGGCTGCAGCCCCTGGTGAAGCACCTTGCACGGCGCGGCCCTCGGAGACCGGTGAAGCGATGGATTCGATGAAGCACGGGGTTTGCTCATTGACTCCACACGTGGGGTGCTTGAGTTTTTTGTTGTTTGGTTATTTAACCTGGCGCCTGGGGTGGCGGGGGGCGGGGAGTCCGGGGGGGAGTCCGAGAGGGAGTTTGTTGCCTGCTTGACATGTATGACATCTTTGACATGTTGTTAGTTGGTTTTCATTAGCTGTTGAGTTTCCATTCAGGTAACCCGTATTTGGTGGTTTGTGGGAATTTGCACCCCTCGTTCTAGGGTAGATGGGGAACCAGGCCCTAACCTCCAAACGATTCGGCTCCAAACCACCGACAAGTAAGTAGAGGGAAGCTGATTACTTGGATGTTCAAGCAACTTAGCATGTAGAGTTCCAACCATGGTTAAACTGGTGTAACTGGTGTGATCGCCCCCTTATACCCACGGTTACAATCCACTTACTAGGTCAGTAAGTTGCTTGAACATCTAAGCCCAGGCCCAAAACTGCAGCTTTTGTTTCTTTTTTTTGAGAGTACCCAATTTGGGCTGGTTTTAAAGGGAAGGACACCCATTTGGCTGGCTCAAAAAACCGGTATCAAAATTTCTTGCCCTGGTAAGTGGAAACATGGACCAAAACCTGCGGTTTGCCCCTCTTGTTGAATTTTGAGCCACACCCATATGTTGGCTGCCAAGCTGCAACCGACACCCCCCCCCCCTCGTGTCATAGGTTTTTGGGGAGTCCCCGATTTTAATAGAGACTCAGCTGGTGCGTTTTACTCTAGGCAGGTCCGGCCCTGGCGCCGTCGCACTGCCCCGTGGCGCCGAACGACGCGCCGGAAGCTGCGACGAGCCTGGCAGGAGAGGCGAGGGTGTGCTGAGAACAACAAAAGTGGGGGGGGGGGGGTTGGGATGCTTGAAATGCTATTAGTTCTATTGGCTGAAGTGAGTATGTGTTTTGTTTGCCTTGTTGGTAAAGGGAACCCATCACTTTCAGGCTTATGCAACAGAAAACCAACCATTTTGGGGGATCCCCTAAACTTCCATTTGGTTAAGAATATGTGTTTTTTCCCCTGTTGGTTTTAAAGGGAATCGATTTCACTACTGGATTTTTTTTTTCCCAGGGGACTTAAGCAAATTGAGGTATTGGCTCAGATGTTTTAACCTTGAGACCTTTTGGTTCAACATGAGAAGTGTCCCACTAACCGGCATGTGTTTCTTTGCCATATCAAGGGATGTTCTTCCAAAAGGGGTTTGTTTCCTTCAGCCCACCGGTGACCAGTTGGAGGGTTTAGTTTTCCGCAGGGCTCTCCTCCAATGTTGGTATCAACATTTGTGGGTAGACTGAATATGGACCAGGACAACTTTGGGTGTACCTCCAACCTGTGTTTCAAATGTCGATTCCTCCCAGGGTGCTTTGCACTGGGCCATTGATTTTGACTGTGTCCAGTGTCAAAGGCAGAAACTGGGGGAGTGTTTCTCATTTACCACTGAACGGGGGTGACTTTGATCATGGTAAACTCATGGAACCAGTAGTAACCATTATGACCACACCTGTTTTTTCTGGTGTAACTGGGGTCATCGCCCCCTTATACCCGTGGTGAAATAACCTACTTGCCTGGTGTTACCCCTTTGCCGAAGGGAGCCCACACTTTGCCGTTTTTGCGGCAGCCTTTTTTTAATGGCAGCAACCAACTCATGGGTTCGGTCAAGAGAGTTTTTTTTTTTTTTTTTTTCAAACGGGGGAACGCCAAAATTGTGTTTGTCCTTGTTGTTTTCATTTTAAATGGAGCACCTTAAAACACGACATACCCAAAGGGTTGTTGTGGACCATCTTTTGAAAGTCTTTTGGGCGCAATCCGAGGCTTCGAAATCATTTTTTTCCGACTTCAATTGCGGCAGGTGATCCCCAAGACTCACTCCCCGAGTGGACTAAAGGTCACTTTTGGGGCCAGAGGCCATTTCGTTGGAAGAAAATGTTGTTTTTGTTTGTTTTGTTTTGCCAATCCACTCGATCGGAAGTGACAAAGAATCTCTGTTGGTGGCATGTTTTAGGTCCTTTGGGTCTGTTCAGTTTCCTTGGTGGCTCCCAGCCATCCCCTTAGCTTTTTAGCCGTTGAGTGTTTAGTGGTAGTTTCAATTTAGCCCACTAAAAGTTAAACTTTTAGCGGGGGATCTGAGGGCAGCCCAGTTTCGGTAGTGCGCTGCAAAAAAGGCAGTTGTTTGGAACTCCGGTCAGGAGTGGGGTCCTGGGCGGGCGTCGCGGCGGCTGGAGGGGACGTTTCTGCCAGCGCAGGCGTGTGCATGAACATCATCCCCCACCCCAACTCCTCTACCCCCAAAAGGGTGTTTGTTTTTTGGGAGCTGGTACCTTTTTGTTTGGGGTGGTTTTAAAGGAAAGAGAGGGGTACGGCTTGGGTGCAAAAACCCAGGGCCAAGGCCGTACCCTTCTGAAAGGAGAACAACATGGACAAACGAAGCAACTGTTGGGGTCCGATTCCCAACAAAAAACACTTTGTTGGGTTTTATACCCGACGGTTCTCAGCTAACATCTTCTGTGGGGGGGGGGGGGACTTCTAGGCCTCCCTACTTGGTTGTTAAAGCAACTTAGTAAGTAGGTTATAACTAGTTATAACGTACAACCAGAACTCACAACTCGGATGTTCAACCAACGTCAGGTGAGTAGTTTACTTCACCATGGTTATAAACTCGTGCAACTTGGGTGGTCGTCTTCTTGGCTATAACCTCACCAGTCCTTGGTTTTTCACATCCTGACGCAAGGCGGCAAAGCGGAGCATTCGAATTTCCGTTCCTTTCACAGGAGGTATCTATAGAGTCCCAAAACCAGGGGACTCACTGGACTCAAGAGGAGGGTCTCACGACAGAAAACTTGGAACTAGAACAGGGGTTTTAGGAACAGCTTCTCAGGAAGAATGTAGGAACTGCGTCCACTGGACTCTCTTCACGAACATGTCCTCTGTCGAGTTTTGACCGCACATTTGCAGTAGGTATTCTTACTTCCATACAGCTCCTGGACTAAATACATTTTGGGAAGACCATTTTGGTGGCAAACTATAAGTTCAGACGTATTGTGGGCCATTTACTCAGGAAGTGAGTATTTGTCCGGCTTCATGTTGATTCGGCAAATATTGCCCTGACGAGGGTTCGTTTCTTGTTGGTGAAGCTCAACTAATCTTTGTAGAGCCAAAAGGGTCTGGAAGGCACGTATTGTTTCTAGCCGGCGTGAATGTCAACCACAATTCCAATATCCATGAGAATGTGTTTTTTTTGTGGGTGCCCCCCAAGACCTCCAAAAACGGAGCCCACAAGTTAATTGACACTGTTTGCTAGGGGGACAGCTCAGTCGCCGAGCAAACGAGTTTGCCAAACGGTTGAAGGTCCTTAGGGCTTCCGCTCGCGCAACTCCCAGATCTCCGGTCTATGGCGGTGTTCCTTTGTGGCCCCCACTTTCGGCTAAAATCTTTGCCTGAAAATGAGGGCGGCAAAGATTTAAACCCTGGCGTTTCAAGGACTTTGTATGGGTTTGGAGGTATGGAATCATTCCAGGGGTTAGGAAGATCAAGTCCCTTTTTCCCCCGGAGGTCTGCAGATCCACTGACCCTTCTGGCGCCTCAGGCCAGCCCCACAGACGCCTCCCTGATCTTCGCCTTGGTGGCCAAAGGCAGGGAGGGTGAGGACCGCATCGTTTTCGCCGGCTCCGGGCTTGCTGAAAGCCCCCCAAAAAAACAGGCCGCTGTGGGTGGCTCCCGTTTTCTTTGGGGTTGGTACCTCTTTGTTGCAGGTTGTAAAGGGGAAGGCTTCTTTTTTTTTGAGTTGGTACCTCTTTGTTGGCAGGTTTTTAAAGGGGAACCACAAGGAACACCGCAAATTGTGGGGGGGGAGCAGATTCCTAGAAGGAAGGCAGACCCAAATGGATTTGCAGCAAATTCGCATGGGACCCAAACAGAGAGTCCACGCCAAAGCAGATCAGGATCTTAATGGTTGCTCGTTGGCATTCCATGTGAATCTGAAGGGGAGTACGTACGGCAGTACCGGATTTTGCGGGTGCGTGGAATTGTAGTTGGAGCTCTTTCTTCGGCCTTGACAGGCTCATGGCTGATGGCCGCACAATTCGCCGAATCCATTTGCATCAATGATTATGTGTTTGTTTTGCTTTACGGGACCCCGAAACGGTGGTGTTGGTTTCCCTTGAAAGTCGACCCAAGAACGGATGCCTCAAACACAAGCACACACACACAGACTTTACAAGCATCTTAGAACCAAGAGTCAAAGGGGTTTGGAGCTTGCTGTTTTGTTTTCTTTTCAAGAAGCCCAGTGGGAGCGTGAAGGTGGTTGGAACATGACCGTTTCCCCACTTACCAGCAGCATGTTCAACTTCAAGGGCAAACTTGGATGGTTGACAAAGTTGACAGCCTTTTTTCGGGCCAGTCAACCCCTGTCCTAAACCCTCCCTTGTGACCCTCTTTGTTTGGATTTTGGCAGGTGGATGACTCAGGCGATCCGGGGGCAACCCCTTGTAAGTTGTCGATAGCTTCGAGAACCAAGCATGACAGAAATGTTAAACAGGGTCATGAGTCCGCTCTTTGGTCATGGATATCCTTTTTAGGTTTGGGTAGAAATAAATGGGTTCCACTGGTTTAGATGGGTTATGTGCCCCAAAGTATCCAACATAATTTGTTTCTTCAAGGGAACCCACAAAGCAACTGTGCCTTAAGCGCCGGTGCTTTGGTCCATGTTTGACAGTTTTCCTGGTTGCGCACCTTTGAAAGATCATTCAGCCACGAGGCTGGCTCATTGAGACGTGATTTGGCTTCACCATGGGCGGAGGAGTGAGCTGCCCGGGCAAGGGGCCGCCAGTTTGAGCGTTTTACCTCTAGACACACATGTAGGCACATAGGCGTCCAGCCATAGGCGTATCCAGTCCATAGGCTATGGCCCCATAGAATTGGACTCACAGGCGCCAGTCTAAGCCAACCTTGGCTGCGACAACTTGGGGTCGTCACGCCTTAGATCGTTGACATTGTTGGTCCCCGGTTAGTCTTACCGCGGTACCTTTGCTCTGAGATTTTGGTTAATGAGAACCATTTTGCTGGATCAATCGCTCTAACAACTAAATCCTACTACCTAAGCCCCTCTTGGGGGAGATTTAGGGGGGATTAGCGAACAGGGTTGCTTGAAAGACACCACCCAACCCGAACCCGAACCTGAATCGCCAACTCACACAAATCTTGGTGTGCAGGAAACCCAAAGGTAATAACCCGGCCTTAGGGCCCAGATTTTGAGAACCCATTTGGGCCTATGACTCTCTTGTTTGTTTCATTTGGGTATTTTTGGGCTGGTTTTACAGGGAAACCAAAAGGACAACCACCTCTTTTGTGAAGTTCTTTGGTTTTTTGGGAGGTCGGTTTTACCAGGAAAGCCGCCATTCCGCTTTTTGGGCGGTTTTCCTGGATTTCGTTTTTTGGAGGTCGGTTTTACCAGGAACTTTGCCCGTTGTTCGGGGGGTCGGTCCCCTTTTGGGCCGAAGGGACCTCCATTTGGGGCCCGGAAAAATCCGAAATCCGGAGGCAGCCCCAGCGACGATCGCATGGCTCTGGGCCCTTGGACCTCGCGCATCTCTTGGCGGCACCTCGAAGGGCGCGGCCTGTTTGGGATGCTTGGGGTTGTCCCTGTTTTTTGTCGCTGCGTTTTTTTTTTTGGGGGGTACCATTTTGTGTCTGTTTTTATTTTGGGGTATCTTGTTTTTATGTTTTTTTGTTGTTTGTTTGTTTGGATCTATTTTTTGGTGCTACCTTGTTTGGGATCTATGTTTTTTGGGGGGTACCTTTTGTGGATCTATGCCTTTTTGGGATCTATGTTCATTGGGTACCTTTTTTTGCGTACTTTTTGTTTAAGGGATCCCTTTGTTGATGTGTTTGTCCTTGTTTTTAGAGTGTCCACTTGTTTGGTCTTCTTTGTTTTAAGGGGGGTTAAGGATGTTTTGTTTAGGGTACCTTTTTGGGGTCCTTTTTTGGTGTGTGTTCTTTTGATGCGATATAGCAACCCCTAGTCCTCAGATGTGAGAAAATAACACCTTTGTTGTTGGATTTCCGTCTATGTACATCCAGGCAGGAAGCAACAGCAAAACCACATCTTGGCGAAAGTACCAGCTCACTATGCAGGCCCTTTACTTCTTGGCGATCTGAGATCCCTTCTTTCAGGTGGAAGTTTTGGGAAAGCCCTTGATCTTTGGTTGATGTTTTTGAAGGGCGCGCGGGCTCAAACAGTTGTACATAGTGCAGATGGCTGAAGTGTATGGTTGGGGAGCATGGTTGCAATCGTTTTGGTGCAATTCCAGAATCGTTTCTGTGGCAATGGGCTTAGGCAAGGGGCTCCAAGGATTTCGAGGGCACCCTTTTTTCCATCATTCAAAGCATCGCTGAATCATACTGGCGAAGAGTAACGCAGGAAGCTGAATTCCCCTGTTGGCTCTGCGTCAACACTTAGCCTGTCGGAGCGTGACAGTCTCGCCCCAGCAAAGCTACACGTCGAACTTGTTGCAGATGCCCAGCTCCAGGCTGATCGATATTGGTTTAAGCTGGCATTGAACATGTGAGCATGCTTGTCAGCTGCACGCAGGCAGACTTTGCCCTGTTGTGCCATTCCAGGTTTCGGAAGGAAGCCGTGTTGGGTGGCCCTTCTTGGCAAATGTTTGTATAATGCTGTAGAGGCGACATGGGATGCAATCTGATGCCGTCTCTGCTGAATGATATCAAACATCCCTGAGTTGAGTCACAGCAGTGCCTTGTTGCAGCCTACGATTGTGAGCGCCCCAAGGTATCGGCGGGATACACTCGCGCGCTGCATTACAGGCTGGATGCACTTGATTTGACGGTCGTAACACTTTTAGGCGTGACATGAAGTTGCGTCTGTTTGAGATGCACGGCTTTGACATGCAGGTTGTAGGTTTTGCACTGCTATTTTGGTGAGCTTGTGTCAACAGTTGGACCGCGTATCAGCATGGATGATTGTGCATATGCAGAGAGAGCCCTAGTCTTGAGCCAAGTCGAACAAATGTGAATGGTTGCACCTCACCGCTTTGCCCTATCCAGTTCACCTTACTCATTTTTGCTCGAACGAGGTGCAGCTCGTGTTGAACACACTTGAATAAAAGCCAGGGTTTGGTTTGATCAGACATGCGTGTTCGTTCAAAGAGTCAACCATTCTTAAGGTTAATGGTTTCATGTTTGTTCAACAATGGTTATGTTTGAGCATCATCAACATTCCGTTGGTTTCAGAAAAGTTTGTGTTGTCTAGCTGGAGTCAAGCTGGTTGTAGGTGCCGCTGGACATGGATCATATATCATGCACGTGGCAGGCTGTTTGGATGGTGCGAAAGGCAAGCAACCAGAAAAAAACACACGCAACCGCATTGTTGAGCTGTGTCATTTTTTATTCTGGAGCCACCCATATAAGATTCAATGGGGGAACCCTTCAAATGATGGCTGCTTTCATTGCAGGGGTATGAGTTCTTTGAGAAGCGCCGATACTGTAGCCTCCCAGAACCAAAGGATTTGCTCCTGGCTGTTGCATTAACATCGCTCTTGCGCGTGCGTTGTTTAATTGCCCCTAGTTGTCAATGAATAATGCGGGCAGCCCTTGACAAGCACAGGATGATGACTGGTTTCCTCTACTGGTGGGATGGGGAGAAGGGGGGGGCATTCGCGGATTCCTTTGCCTCCAGCTCTATTTCAAGAAGCGTTTTGGATATGCGCTGGAACTGAAACTGGACTGTTTGTTGATGGGCGTTTTTTTTTTTTTTTTTTTTTTAAATAAGTCCCGGTGAGCCCAAGGTACACTAAATAAGATTCAGGGTTCTTTTGCCTATCTCAACACATTTGTTAGTATAAAGGGGGCTGAGTGCAATTTTTGACTGTTCCCAGTAATTCCATTTTTCTGTAAAGTGAATATCCAGGGGAATCACGCTTCAGACATGAAAATGAATTCATGGCTGGTTAGCCACTACGGGTGTATCTGGGATCCACTGAGCTTCTTTGCTCCTTTTACCACAGATGAACCCCAAACGTCCGAACACGGAAACCCGTTTTGGGGCGAACCCACAACTTCGGGGTTTAGTGTCAATGTGTCTCGCTCCCCGAGTTCCGCCTCGGACTTTGGTCCCAAAATGGGAAAGCCACTGGATCGGAAGTGAACTGGATCGGAAGTGAGCAGGGGAGTAGTGGGAGGAGTTCCAGCGGCCCTTTGCTTCCGTTTTTTTTTTTGGAAGGGTTCCCCTTTCAGCTCAGCCAAGCAACAAAAGTCGGATGCAACGATCCAATTTTTTCGTCTGGAAATCCACTGGGCATTTGAGTAAGAACTGTTCGGTTTGGTTTGCATCGGGAGAGAGGAGCTCTTTGGCGAGCTCCTGGGGTGCCATACTCGGACAGGCAGATCGCTGTCGCGTTTCCAGTTTGCGTGGGTGGCTTGTCGTTGGTTGGGCTCGGCTGGTTTGGAGCTGGTCTGTGCAGGGCCCCCTTTAAAGGAAGAGAGTCTTCCGGGACCCCTCAGCCAAGTTCCAGAAGGTACCCTTTCTGAGGTTGGCTTGAAGGAAATCCACAAAGACCGTTTGGCCGGTTTGAGGGTTCCAAATGCCGAATCCTAAAGGAAGCGCCCCAGTTAGCTTCTCCAACAAACATCTCACGGTACCTTCCAAACCTTCCGGAACCCTTCGGATCCCTTTGCGTATCCCTCAGAGCTGCTCGGGCCTCGCCGAGTAGCCATAGATTTCAAGGGCAACACAACTCTAAGATGGTTCCAGTACCCCCAAACCACTAGTTGGGGTTTCATGGGATTTTCTGGCACTGTACAGCCACAATACAAAGAGTATTTTCCCAAATTAACCCTGGACACCATCTTATGCTGTCTTGACTTGAGGTCTTGTGATGTTTCCAGAGTTTCAGTGGCTGCCGAAAACCTTTCTAGTTTACTTTACCTAGAGAAAGCGTAGTCCCTCTGATCGGGGAACTGAGTGATGTTGCTGCTGGAACATCCTCATTTCGAAATTGGTGCAAGATGTTTTATCTTCGTTCCCGTCGAGGCTCTAGAGGGAGCGCTAAATTGAGTGCAGGTACAGGATGTCCAGTTTGGGTTAGAAGGGTGGGCATGTAGGAGCGAGCCCCATTTTTTGGAGCCCGCAATCCATGCTCCAGCATTTGTTTTAGCTGCATTGGAGCCTTGGTTTCCATAAAGACTTGTTGACCTGTTGATGCATTTGTTCGGGGTGTTGAAATCTACGAGACATCCGAATCTCAGATGCTTGATACACTTGAAGGAATGGATTCAATGGATTTCCTGCTATCATGATGTTACATTTCAGGTGCGCGTTGTGATCGCGTTCGTCATGATGTTGCTGGGCCTTATTCGAAGTGCTTTGCAGGCTTTCGAGTTTGATATGGATTTGTGTTTTTTCAGAGGACGCCCAGAATTGTTGTTTTCCTTTTGGTCTCCCTTTGAAAGCCATCTCAAAAAGGGTACCCTCCAAAAACAAGACACTTCAAAGGTGGTTGGTGAACATGAATCTCCGCTTGAAAAATGGCCACCAAAGGGCCCCTAAGTCAAAATTAAGCCAATATTGCTTTGGGTGTTTCCTTTTTTGGAGGGTACCTCCTGCCCCGTCAGCTCGTTGGGAACTGCGTAGGGCGGTGGTGATCCTTTTCAGCGGCGATTGGAGCTGTTGGCTGCTGCATGCGGACGCCCGGCGGATCGATGTAGGGGGCCAGGTTGTTCCTTTTGTGCTTTCCTGAGTTCCGTTTCGGACTTCAAAACTGTTTGGGTTTGCGCAATTTTCGTGGTAAATAAACAGTTTGGTTACTTTCTGTTGTCCAATCCACTCAAGAAATGAGTTTGGTGGTGTTGGTCGAAAACAGATGGCCCTGGTGGTTTCAGAATCTACCAAGGCCATCGATGTTCCCTAAAAAGCGCATATGGTAGCTTTCAACCTTGCTTGCCAGGGAAGGCTTTTAGAATAGAGCGAGACCGGGCTGAACATGGGGAATCTTTCCGTCGGGTCGCCGTGACAGACTGGGCATCCTCTTGTTGTTTCTGGATTTGGCTGTTCGAGGTGCTCGATGTGCGTTGCAAGCTGTTCAATGTTGATTACTTGCGCCTCCTTGCAGGGGCCAAGTTTTAGGTGGGTGTCTCTTGCTTTTTGCTTGGGACCCCCCGCCCAAAAGGAAAAACAAAACACGGTTTTCCTTTTGGCTTCAAAAAGGGTGTCCTACTTGCGCCCATCAGCCGAATGGCCTTGGGACCCAAATTGGATGAAGTGTCTGAGGTAAACCATGGTGGTTCCTATGAACCATTGTTTTAATGGTGGCAACTGAGCCACAGCGCAATCCCGCGGAGGGAGGTGAAAAATGGAGACTTCAACCCAAAAGGGTACCTCGCTCCGTTCGAAGCACGAAGAATCGCACACGAAAGGCCCGTCCATTTTTTGTCGCGTGTCCCTGTTTGGGCTTAGGTTAAAGGAACACCAAAGGGACACCAAGCCGTTTATTTTTTGGGGGGTGGGGTGGGGGGGGGGGCTTGCCATGGCATTTCATGCTCAAAGATGCCACTGGAACTCCCGGTAAAGTTGCCAAATCATCGGAACGGGGATCTCACTGCAGAAACAGCAGCTCGGGAGCAAACTTCTACACTCGAAATTACCCTCCCGCCAGCCAACGTGGAAGTGCACAGACCCCTGTAGAAAGACTACTTTCCTCTTGGAAAGGGCCTTTTTGCACTTCCATGTTAGTTGGTGGGAGGGTAGCGATCCGGTATTTGTGGTTGCTTCCCTTTAAATCCTTCGCCCAACCAGGCGTTCCCGACAAAAAGAGATTTGAGCCCATATGGGCCATATGCATCGGCTCAATGTGGGACGTCCAGTAGCGTTTCAGGATACTTGTTGAGCTTTCCCCTGTTGGTTTGGAAGGGAATCGATTTCACTACTGGACATATATGTTCGCTTATTGTGTCCAGGGGACAAAAGTGTAAGACAACGTCACTGTTGTTGGATCATGTTTTAAGGTTACACATTTTTTGGAAGCCCATAGCAAGAGCTGCACAGAAAGATCATTTTCTGTATTGATTGTCCAGGGGCTTTGATTGCAGAGCTGCCATGTTTTTGAGTGGCCAACAATTTCAGAATGATTTGTGTGTTTTGCCAATCTACTCGATCAAAAGTGAGTCACGGGGGGCAGTTGGCGCGGCGAGTCGCCTTTTGCCGCGAGACGTCCCTACTCTAGATGGACGAAATCCCCCACCTAAGAGGCCCTGGAGGGATGATTCTCTGTAAACACCCACAAACCGTGGTTTCAACCATGGTTTCCAACTGGTGCGCGAAATGGATTTTGTCCATCCACAGGATGGCACGGTTGCCAGCGTCGGCGAGCCGGACGAGACATGGCTGCTCACCCAGGCTCGGACCGGAGGGTTCCCAGCTGCCCAGATCACGGAAGCTGAAAAGCCAGCTATTATTTTTGAGAAACGCTCGTTTTGGGGGTTAATCTGTAGAAAACAGTTACCAAACAGGGATGACATGTGTTTTGGAGATTTGGGTAGGTGAAGAGAACAACATGTATGGCATAGATGCCTGCATCGAAAGTTCACAGCAAGTCAGCCTAGACCCATGTACCCAGAGAAGTTGTTCAACTTGCCGTATTTGTTTTCTGCCGTAAGCTTCGAGGCGTACACTAATTTGTACTTTAGGTTGGAGGCAGCTTTGGCGTTTTTGTCGTCCAGCTCAAAGATTCAGTTGCCACGGGGAGCACTCCAGGCCATGTTGTGACGGTCAGGCCACTTGGAGTACCCCCCCGTTCACCTTGCCATGAAACCCTCTAGAGAAATTGAAGATTCAGTTGCACGACCATAGATGAAGGGCGCCGAGGTTTTCCATGACGGCCACAAGCAGATGTGGATGACACACATATGTGCAAGCTACGGTGGATGCCCCAAGTGATGCAAGTAAAGGAACCAGGAACCCCAAAGTCGATTACAATTTAGCATGGTTTTGAGGTTGATGATATTTAGGGCAGGTGTCCTTTGCGAAATTGATCGGAATTCAGCAGCATGTCTTGGCATCTTCGGTATGTTGTTTTCTTGGACGCAGAAGCTGCTTGTTGGTCGCGCTCGGTGAAGAAGCAGAACACGCACGCGCGCGCGCGTTCGCAGACAAAATTGTTTGTTGGGTAAAATGATCAAATATGTCACAGAAGATCCATCTGATGATGGAGCTGCAAGACAAATGGCTGCACACAATCTTCGAGAGCGCATGCCTTCATTTTCTTCGAGCTTTGCCCATGTGGAAATTTTGCGGTTTCCAGGCTACTTTATTTGAGCATCTACCAAAGGAAGCCCCCGCGAATCTGAGGAAGTAGCCATCGGCATGCCTCACTTTGGTATCAGAGTTGTATTTTGAGCAATCATGGCGTTGCTTTCTGTGTTTTTTGGCTTCATGCTTGAGATAGTGGCGTAGATCAAAGCGGCGCCACCGACCGTCTGCGCCTCGCTCGAGAATCCACCCACTCACCGATGGAAGTGGGGTGATTCTCCAAGGAATCCTTCCCTGGCTTGCCCATCTCATTTGCTGGGCTTTGGCTAGGTCCCCCAGTGCCCTTTCTCACCCCTTTTTTGGGGGAGGGTTCCCCTACTAAAATAGACTACAGAAAAAAGGGCACCCTTATTCCAACCTCTCTACTGGAGGACCTAGTTGGTCACTTTCTGGGAAGACCAGTTTAGTGGTACCCTCGCTCCCACTAACATGGTACGGCTCCCTCAAGAGGAGAATGATCTTCCAGGTACCCTTTGAACAGGGCTCCTTAAAAGATACATTTTGCCCATTTGAACCATGGCTTTTTCCACCAAGATAATGGGAAACCACCATTTACAAGGCAATGTTCAGGTGTATAATGTAAGGATCCCTGTTGGGGGGTGCTGGCAGCAATTCATGTTGATGCTATGCAGTTTTGCGCACACGGCAGAAAAGCAAGACTTGTGAAGATCCCTGTGAGATCGTGAGAGGATTCCAGATGGGTGTCCGTTCAATACACACGCAATATGTGTACACAGAGGGTGGCCCCTAAAATCGATTCACTTTGATGTTCCTTTAAATCAACCCCAAACGGAAATGGGAAACCCGGAAATAAATCCCTGGTTGATTAGCAGGGGGCTGTCCCCTTTTTGTGGGGAATGAGACCACGTTGGGGTCTCTTGGTTTTCCCTTAAAACCAAGAAGTATGGGGTACCCTCCAAAAAAGGCTCACCTCATATCGTCGATTGGGAGTGGACGAGCGCGAGACGCCTTGCCAGACGCCAGGTTTGGAGATCCGCCGAGTCCAATCCCAGTGTAGCTCAGCTGCATGGTTTGATGCTTCCTGATGTCTGGGTCTCTGTTTCTTGGCGGTTCCCAGCCGGCTGAAGCTGTTGGGGGGAGGGTCCATTCAAGCCACTAAAAGTTAAACTTTTAGCAGGGAATCTCGGGACAGCCCAGATTTCGTTCAAATGAATCAGCACTCCTAGGTCTTTGGGGGTCAACGGCCGGCATTGCTTCCCCGCCTGCTCTGTTTGTGTGGAGGGGGGTCACGTTTTGCCGGACTAGGGGTTGGGATGTGTCCCAATTCCTTTAGAAATTCGATGCTGAGAAGCCATACCCCTGTTCGGGCTGTATACCACATATATATAGATATATTACACGTATGACTTGGGGCCATTATGGTCAGCGGTACATGGCAACAGTCCTTGGGGATGTGATTAAACATGACCAATTGCAGCTGGTCTATTTACCTGTTTCCCAGTTTTGCCCAGCCTGAAAGGTCAATGATGTTCGAAGCATTTCCGGAGGAGCAACTGGGCAGGGCAAATACGTTTGGAGCGCTTGTGTTTGCATGATTGAATCAGGAGCCTGAGCAGTGTGCCGCCATGTTGACCAGACTAAAACCGAGCCTTCATTGAAATCTTCCGTTATTTTGCCTTTCTCTGTAAGCGAAGAATCCAACAGATGTGTAATGAGAGGCCGGCATATGTTGCTTTGCAGTCAGCGTAAGGTGAGTTCCGGAAATTGTCGCGAGCGTGACATCTCTTTGGATACCGAACCGCCGCGACTCACCAACCCGGCACGGTCCAGGCCTCTTTTTGGCACACATGCGCACGTGGATGAGTTAGAAGCTCCTTGACTTCCTGGATAGTGTTTTTTTTTGTTTTTCTCTGAAGACCATGTTTGTGATAAAACAACAGGTTGTAGGTTGGATTCTTGTTGGCCAATCCACTCAATCGGAAGTGAGTATTCCAAATAACTTTAAAAGAGAAGCTTTGTTGGTTTTTTTTGTCTCGTATCCAGCGGAACCCAGGCAGATATGTTGATTTCCCTCAAGCTTCCCAAAGAAGCTTTCCCTGTTTGGCTCAATGTGGTGATGATGGTAAACAGAGAATCACCTCAGAAGTGGTTGGTGGACATGAACCCGCATGTAAATGACGTCCGCCAGAGGGTGCCTAATTCAAACTCATCGACCCTAAGCCCACCCGAAAGCAACCCAAATGAATTGGACCCACCAACAAAAACAAGCCTAGTTCAACCTTGGTTCAAACACTCACTTTGGTCTCTTTTTGAGTCTGGACCATTTTAGTTTTACAGAACAAGTGTACTGACTTGTTCTGGGCAATCCACTCGGTCGGAGTCGGAGGTGAGAAAAGGGAAACTTAAACCCAGAGGTGCCAATGTCAAAGGACCCGCTTGCTTGCGGTTGACAGGCATGACCATCGACTTGGTAGTAAGGAACCTAGGTCCCCGAGTAGTGCCCTTTTACCCTTTTTTGGGGGAGGGGTTCCCCACTAAAATAGACTTAGTAGCAAGGAACCCTGATTCTAACCTCTCTACTCAAGGACCTAGCCATCGACCTGGTAGTAAGGAACCTTTACCCTTAGAATGATTCCTGCTAAGGCTGTAAGGGAACCACCAGCACAGGCCACACTGTGGATTGACGAAATCCTGCCCCAAGTAAGACACCCTGGAAGGATCACGATGATTCCCCTGGAAATACCAAGAAGCCCTGGTGTCGCTTCGTTTCAACGCGCGAAATTGATTTCGTCCATCCACAGTATTTACTTGGTGGCTCCCAGCCATCCGAATCCGGTTCCTTAGCCTTTTAGCCTTTTAGTGTTGAGTGGTAGTTTCCATTTAGCCCACTAAAAGTTAGTCACTTGTTGTGGGAGATCAGAAAATGGGCAGCCCTAAATAAGGCCTGACTAAGAGCTTAATAAGGGTTTTTTTGGGCTCCCTCCGCCACAGCTCAGTTTTAGCCGCTTGAGGCCACCCAGCGGCTGCTGCCTCCTCGCCAGGACGACCACCTAGAGGCGGCCGCTTTCAGGCAGCTCACTCAGGGGCGGGGAGCGAGTGGGTTTTCCAGTTTTCCATTTTGCTGGGAGGCGAACTGGGAGCCGGGGTCTCCAAGTTCGCCCTTCCTAACTCATACCCAAAGGGTCCAAGTACCCTCTGAGGGGGTACTTAGACCCCTTTTTACTCCCCTTGTGAAGTACTTGGACCCTCTGGGATTGTAATTTCCTTTATGGCTCTTAGGGTGGGATCTTTGGATTAAAAGTTAAACTGCTTGCAGAGGCGTCAACGGTCAACGCAACCAAGTTACCCGGAGTCTCCTGACCTGAAAACGGGGTTACCCCTTTGAAGAAAGGGGTCAGTCATGTCATCATGACTCCAAATATCCTGCTTTGGGGATTTATGTATATCATGTCCATCTTCGCGTGAAACAGGCCGGAGGAAGAAACCAATAACTGGGCCCAGGGACTGTGTGTTGGGGATTCCTTATTTTCACCACTGTTGGAATGCTTTTTGATTTTTAGGTTTTTGGATTCTGTTCTTTTTTAGAAAGGACAGCTGTTTCGCTACCATACCAAGGCTTGGACAGTTCTCATCCCCGCCTCCCCCTCACCCCAGTCCCGGCTAATTCGCTGTGACAGTGCAGATTGTCCACAGGGCGGCACGTCTACGCACAATGTGTGGGCTGTGATTTGTTTGTTGTGGTTTTGCCCAAAGCATGTGCAGATGTACACGTCATACTGAATAGTACTAAATGACGTGTGTATATACACGCAGCACGCGTATAATATATATATATATATAGATATATATATATATATATACATATATAGGGATTCAAGTTGTTTCTGGTAGGTCCTATGAACTTTGAATGAACCACCAGTCCGGTTTGGAGACCCAAAGGCAGAAGGAAGAGGAGTATTTCCTCATGCACATGGCATATTTCAGACTCCTTCGTGTCTGTTGGACTTACTGGCAAGGGCTGCGAAAAGTACCCCCCTCTTCCGCCACGCCTGGTGAAGACTGATGGTTCCCGGCCACCCGGTTCCTTGGGTGGTTGCCTTAAGGTTGTTGTTTTTTATTTTGTGGTGAAAGGTGGGGGTGTCCATACACGCACTAAATTTCTTAGACTTTCCGCAGATCAGAAAACAGACAGCCCAAACAACCGGACCCCCCCCCAAATGGTGGTTGCCCCGTTTGGGTTCCGATTGAAACCCACACCAAGTTGTCTACTAGGTCCCCCAGTTGTGCCCTTCTCTCCCCTTTTTTGCCGGAGGGTTCCCCTACTAAAAAAAAGAAAAGAACAAAAACGACTACAGAGAAAAATAAAAAAGGAAGACAAAAACAGAACAGAAAACGGGTACTCTTGTGCTAACCTCCCTACTGGAGGACCTAGTTAAGCAGTGGATCAGAAAGCCGAAAACGGACAGCCCTTGAGCGTTTGGCCCTCACGACTTTCTTCTCATTGCAAGGCTCCTGCGATTGCTGGGGCGCCTTGGCAGCGTGGCCATTCACGGAGAGATAGGCACAAAGAGAAAGAGTGAAAGAGAGAAGAGGGAAAAAAAGACAAGTATGGTTGCTTTTGTGTTTGACAGAAATATCCTTTGAACCTTGTTGAAATAAATAGCAGTTGGTTTTGGAGTTGGACAGAAATAACCGGTTGAACCTTGTTGAACCTGGCATGTTCGCCTTCTGACTGACAATTATGCACTAGTTGCAGGAGGTTTGGCTCGGCTTGTGAACTTAGCATCAGTTCGCTACGGCTGACTGAGGGCTATGGCTGAGCATCGAGTAGCGTGTACTGCCATCTATCACAATTGTGTGGGGGCTGATGTGGTATGATGTGGTATAGATAACTGTAAGACACCATCTTGCTCACAATTCAAACATTCATAGAAAGTCGTTTGGGCCATCGTGTTCAACCCGTGCGGTGATTTGCGGGGAAACATAATTCATGAAGTTCAACCGGTGCAATGCATTCATCTGCAAAATTTGTGGCGAGCTCACCAGGAGTAAAATGAGCCCACCATGGTAAAGATACTTTATATACTTGAGAAGCCTGTTTGTCAGGTTTTGGACATGTAGTAAGATATCCAGATCCATGCAGTAGCCTTCCGATTCTCCTCGACGATCTCCCACATGACCCAACCTGATAGCCACAATCCAAGTCGATGTGTGGATATAGACAGGGGTCCCTAGATTGTTGGTGGTTTTAAACATCACTTTTTTGGCCCATGAAAGGTGAGAGTCCCTTGGGGTGATGTTTTATGGGGAAATAACTCGGGAGCCCTGTCTAGATGTTGCTGGCGTTGCAGTGGCACTCGGCAAAACATGAGAGAGTCGGACAGCACCAGCTGGCCCTTGTTGTGGTTTTGTTGGCTGATCAATAAAGCCATCAATAAACCCGCCCAGTTATGAATGAGGGGACCCAGTGTGTTCACGGGACCCCCCCTTGAATAAGAAGCGGGGGCTTACGAATCAGGAGTCATCCTTTCTCAAGGCTCACAGAAAACATCCCAGGTACCCTAGTCTTGACCTGCCACTTGGTTTTAATCCCAGCATATGCCAGCATCTGCCTGGTTCCGCGCCCTTTTGCCTTGGAATCTTTGCAAATTCGTCGTTTCCCGCGTTGCGACTCGACGGGCGGAAGCGGAGGCCCTCTGAGGACAGCTCTCTGGTCATCTTGGATGAGCGGCACCCTCCGCTGCCGCTGGTGGAGAAAACGTCGAACGCCAGGCCGGGAGAGTCGATGGGCGTTGCTTTTGGCCGTTTTTGGGTTTGGAACGCAACGGGGTCAAGCCCAAGTTTTTTAGTTTTTTTCTTTGGGGGGGGGGAGGAACCGTCTTTTTGCTGGGCTTTTAAGGGACACCTCAATGCCCCGAAGGGGTAAGATCGAGTTATCGCTGGAGGACCATGGGCAAATTAAATTTGAACGGCTCGTTGTTTTGTTCATTCGGAGCCCTCTCCGCGCGCTGATACCGCATATTACCATGTGTTTAGAAACCAGGGAAAGCGCGAATCAGCAATGGGTGCCGAGTGCAAAGGAACCCTGTCCACGGGTATGTGCGCCAAGCCGAGTTTATTGGGAATCTACTGATTTGGCCTCACCTATGGCTGTGAATCAGCAGAGGTAGGCCATGACATACGCCACGTATTCAGCCGTAGTTACCCCACATGAACCACTTTACTCCTTGGCGTGAATTCTTCTTTGTTTGAGGTTACCCTTTTGTGGTGGGCAACCAAAGACCACCAAGGTTCTGGCAGGAGGGTAATCTGTAATCCCTACAACAGCTGTAACCACGTGAGTAGAACCACAACATTATACTCTTTATACCGGACTAGCCGTGTTATACCCTCCCACCAGCGATTCCATGGAAGTGCGCAGACCCCTGTAGAAAGACTACTTTCCTCTTGGGAAGCGCCTTTTGGCACAAACCCATCTTGGTGGGAGGGATCAGGTGATCCCTCTAAATGGGGGGTTTTTCTCTTCGCTCAGTTTGCGAGCCGAAACCTCGCCCTCGCCCATCGCTCAGGGGCCGCGCGCTGTGTTTGCTGGGCTGCCCCGCGGGGCTCACAGACCTCCAGGAGCTCGCATTCGCGCGGGCGGCGCGGGCCGCGCGCTGGCAGGCGTGAAAGACTTGGCTGATTCGGCGGTCGCAGAGAATACGTGTCTTAAAGTCTAGGCCCCCCAGCGAGTCGTGCCCTTTCTCGCCCCTTTGTTGGTTGGGAGATTCGGTTCCCCTACTCAAATAGACGACCGAAAAAAGGGTACCCTTATTCTAAAATCTCTACTGGAGGACCTAGAAGTACTTGGCGGTTCCCAGCCGTCCGGTTCCAAGAGTTTTTGTTTGGTGTTCAGGTTTTTTCAATGGAGGGGCTCCACATTTGACCCACTAAAGGTTAAACTTTTGGCAGCAGGTCAGAATACGGACAGCCCAGAATAGGGAACCCCCCCAAATGGGCGTGTATTTGTTGATGCTACCTTATTTTGTTGTTTTAAAGGACAACCAAAGGGAAAACCACAATTTTGGGGTCCCCTAAATGCAAACACACCCAAATGGATTGCTTTGAAACCACAAGTGGAATCTATCACTATTGGACTTTTTGTTTTTTGTTCGAGGGGCCTTATTCGCAAATGGAAGTACCCCACCTACTTTTCCGCGTCCTTTTCCGTTTCGAGCGCTTTCGAACTTGTTGGGGCCAGGTGCGACGGTTCCGACTGGGCGATCGCCCGGAGTTCGCCTCCAAAGTAGTGGCGCGGTTACAGGCGCGCCGAAGACTCGACTCACTATGTTGAACCAACTTCGTAAGGAATTGGGTTATACCCATGGTCATAGTCTAGGCTCAGTTTATCTGGATGGGCTGAGACCACTCTAGAGAAACCCACCACTTTCCCATTCTGGCCCATGTTTTGAGAAGGATCCCTGAGAATTGAGAGGGTACAAAAACTAGGTCCCCCAGCAAGGTACCCGCTCTTTTACCCCTTTTTTGGTTGTTACAGAAAAAAGGGCACCCTTATTCTAACCTCTCTACTGGAGGACCTAGTAGTATAAGGGGACTAACCCTAGATACACAAACTTAGCGAATCGACATCCACGTAACAAGCCAAACTTAGTAAGCAGGTTATAACTAACCACGGTTGTAACTCGTGTAACTATAACTAGGGTGATCGCCCCCTCATAACCATGGGTGTAGCCTAATGTTTACCCTATATGAGATCAACCCCTGTTTATTACCAGGGGGGTGTTCCTGGGTTTAGTGGGGAATCATCGCTTTTCGAGGGGAACACACACACACACACACACACACACTCCCACACACACACACACCCACACACCCACACACCCACACACCCACACACCCACACACCCACACACCCACACGCCCACACGCACCCACGCACCCACGCACCCACCCACCCACGCACGCACGCACGCACGCACGCACGCACGCACGCACGCACGCACGCACACACACACGCACGCCCACACGCCCCCACGCACACCCGCACACCCGCACACCCGCGCACACCCGCGCACACCCGCGCACACCCGCCCACACCCGCGCACACCCGCGCACACCCGCGCACACCCGCGCGCACCCGCGCGCACCCGCGCGCACCCGCACACACCCGCACACACCCGCACACACCCGCACACACCCGCACAGTTGGGTACTTTTTTTGGCCAGTCCACCCAGGAAGTGAGGGTACCCTCTGTCCAACAAACATGGAAGTGCACCTTTGGGGTGTTTTGCTAAGAAAGACACACCTGGCAAGTGGGAACTAGCAAGACTTGCAGGGAGAGTTGGTTGCAGTTTGCATTGCTTTTTCTATAAGTTGTGTTTTCATTTCCAGATGTTCCGGTGTGTGCAGTGTGTGTGTGTGTGTTTATGGGACTCCAAAAAAATGTCTCTTTGGTGTTCCTTTGGAACAACCCCAAGAAGGGTATCCTCAGAACCCGGCACCTGGCGAGCCGCTTTCGGCGGGGAGCTCGGCGCTTCTTCCCGGCGATTCGGCCAGGTGTGGCAGAACTGTCAGCGGCTGATGCCGGCCATCGGAGGCGCTTCACGCCGACGCAAAGCGAGCTCACCCATGCAGGTTCGGAAATCACCAGGTAAACCAGGAATCGCCCTCTATTTTCTTCCCCAGAGTTAGCTCCCCTTTTTGTTTCTCGCTTTTTTGGGGTCCCTTTGTTTTCTACTAACTAGGCAAACAAGATAATTGTTTGCTGGGGTCCTAATTCCAGCCTAGTTTTTTAACAAACCAGCCAAAAAGGACACTTATGTTTGGGAACCTGTGTTGGTTTGGTTGGGTTGGTTTAAGAAATAGGGGGCGATTCCTGGTTTACCTGGTGGTTCAATCATAGAGCCATCTACTTTCCAAAGAGGACGCCTATGTTTGGGAATCTTGCGGGGATGCTCACCCAAGACTTGAGGACGCTAAGGATCCCTAGCTGGTGGTTGCAAGGGATCCACCTTTGCTTTTGAAGGGGTAGCGGTTTAGGAGCTGCCGACCGGAGTTGGAACATGGTTGATCCCTAGACCAGAAAAAGAGGAGGAAACTTATTAGTTGGTTGAGCAACTGTGGTTTCGGTGCCATATCTCTTGCGGAATAAGACCAACGTGCGGCACTTTTGCTTTGCTGGGACGCTGGCAAATGTGAGAACCTAGAAACTGCAGGTGCCCCCTTCCCCGTTGTTTTCTTTGCAGGTGCAAGCTCGGATGCTGTGTGGCCCACTCAGCAGCACATCGAGCATGGCGAGGCACTGAACGAGCTTGCACTCGCCCGCCGAAATCATTCGCGGGTTCCTGCAATGGCAGGACGTTTGACATCATACTTCTTGCAATTCCCACGGTCCACGTGCTTCAACGGCCCCAGTTGGTTGGCAGATATGCGAGTTGTTGTACATTGCTTGCTGTGTTTTGCGGTTTTCTCATTCATCACGTTAAGGTGTTTCGACATGCCCCCGCAAACACCCTCGCTCGCGGCGTGCAAGAAGCAGAGGTGCTCAGATTCATCTGATTCATGTGCCTCGATGTTGCCTATTTTTCGTGTAACCAGATTTGTGTTGGAAACTCCGTCTTAAGAATACCTCGGGAGAGCGGGTGAAATCGGTGACCTCTGGAAATCCATGTTAATGTGTGGCGAGAATTCTCATCCTGTGGCCACTCCCCTCCCCCGCAAGGTGGTGAGAAGTTTATATGTGAGGCAGCCGCTGGGCTGTGACTGGTCCGTGTTTGTCCTGTTGAGGACAAACACGAATGCATTTGTTGAGAAACCCCCGAACCACTGTACATTATACATATACATATATATATATATGCTGACCCCCCCCCATGATCCACATTTGGCATTGTTGCATTGTGTGGTCTCAGCTTTGGCTCCTTAGTTTGACACCGTAGTGTGTAATTAATGGCTCAAGCACTCTTAGCCCGACTCTTAATAGAGGCTGTGAAAATAATAAGAGCGCAATGCAATGAGCGCCCCATCGCGCCATCCAGATGGCCTACAAAAGTAGGTCATGTACCATGTGGCTACTTGGCAGATTTCATAGAGTCGGAAACTGCAGTTTCTTATGGGGTCCTTCTGCTGTCATTTCTGCTCTTGCCCATCTAAGGATCTGAAGTGTTCAGCTTCGAAGGCTTGCACTTTAAGGTCAGCTCGGACGGCGAGACCGTCCTCCAAGCGAATGAATTGAACTTCATTACGAGTGAGGGGCATTTGCCATAGCTTTTCCTGTCTCAGTTGTCTGAGCCGCAAGGAAGAAAAGCCTGCTGACCATGTACGTCTGAGTCTGCTTGCGTATCAAGCTCAGCAAATTTCCTTGTGCTATACTGCATCCATTGCAAAGCTAGGTAACTTTCTTTTATTCCAACTCTATGATCCACATTTGGCATTGTTGCATTGTGTGGTCTCAGCTCTGGCTCCTTCGTTTGACACCGCAGTGTGTAATTAATGGCTGAAGTACTGTTAGCCCGACTCTCAATGGAGGCTATTAAAATGCTGCTTGCATCTCAAGCTCATCAAATTTCCTTGCGCTATGCTGCAGCCATTAGGTAACTTCCAGATATTCCCTTCTGCTCGAATTGCTGTCATGGCATCTGTGCCTCCGCAGCGTGCCGAGTCGCTTGCTCGTTCCTTCGACAACGCCAACCTGGACCTTTACTTGGAAAAGCCAATGGTGGTGAACAAGGAGCCCGGTTCCATTAAACTGGGCGATTTGCCAGCTAAAATGGAAATCACCAACTCCGTGAAAAAGAAGACGCAGTTCCTCGATGTCATTGTTGACCACGAGTGCCTATTGACTTGAACGCAGTAGAGACAATGTTCCTTCAACAACGGTATGCCGACCTACCCGAGCCCGTGCGCATGAAGGCGAGGAAGAGGGCAAAAAGGACATCAGTAAGCACATCAAATTCCTGGAAGGTGCAAAGGTCCTCCACAGCTCCATGATCTCTATGTGCCAGCGCATTCCACTTGATCGACTTGCAGGGCAAGTACCGCGATGGTGGTCGAGGGCTACAGCGCATGCTCGGACCCAACACGATCAAGGATTGGCCTCTCACCTTCAAGAGCGTCACGCCGTGGGCTTTGAACACTATCCTTGCACCGATTCTTCCTCGTGTGATGTCCCACTCCGTTATCTGGATTGGCAAGTCTCAGGTGGGTAAAAGCCCGGTGTCCTACACCCTCTCATCTGTGGTGTCTGCTTATTGGTTGATTCAGGAAGAGAAGGAGGGCGGGCAGCCCTTGCTTTGTTGCTTTCAGACATGCAACTATTTCCGAAAGGAGAAGGGCAGACGGACTAATGCCGAGGGTCTTGCAACCTGAACTTGGAGCATCCTGCAGGTGTCAAGGCGGTGACGGAGGTGGACGGCGTTGACCGGAAGACTATGTCACGACACAACGCGTCATCATACGCGAAGAATCAGTTATGCCAGATTTGCAGGCCAATTCGACTTAGGGACACCGTGACCTTCGAGCAGTTCCACAAGATCGTGCGCCCCTCCTTCCACAAAGACGTCGATGAAGAGGACCTCGTCGGTGTCTTCAAGCGATCCACCTTCATTATCTTCACCAATGCGGGCAGGCACGTGCGTGTGCAAGGGACAGACCGCACACCCGTTCCCCAGTATGCTTGGACAGAGCGGGACATTGGCATGATCTCTCCATCTACCCGACCCCTTTTGGCTGCCTACAAGCGTGGTAACCTCTCTCACATGCCGGCAGATCATGACGTGGAGTTTGAGCTTGCTGCAGGCTGCGCTGGATGGCGAGGCTTAGTTGCCCAAAGCCAACCTTTTAGCGCATTGGGAGTTTGTCTGTCTACCACATGTGTTCTTCCTAAGAAGGCCAGGCAACAACACGTTCTCTTTTTTAGGCGCGTTTGAAAACTGAACTTGAAACTCAAAACACGGGTCCGTTCTGGGGAAGACAGTCTGTTAGGGGCGTGAGGGCTGAATGATCCTTTCAGGTTGATTTGCAGGGGACACGTTTTTCAGAAAGAAAAAAGGGAAACTCTTAATTGGCAAGCTGTCAAAGTAGCCACCCCATTGTGGTTTCCCTCTTTATTGTCATTGGCCCAACCCAACTCAAAGTAGGCGAGAATCTCCTACGCCTTATTGTGGCGCATCGGCATGCAAGCGCGCCTGGCGCTGCTGCGCGCGGCGAGCAAGCTCCAGCAACTGGATGCGCGCGGAGTTCCATGGCGCAAGCTTTCTTCGCTGTGCAAATTGGCTGTATATGGACTGAAAGTTTAGAGGAAACTCCAAGTACGCTGGCGGCCCAAGTGCGCTTGGAGGGTTGCAGTTCTAGTGGTGTTTGTAAGGCTTTTTTTTGCCTGCCCGACTCTTCTGTGGCGGCCAGTCTTTGGGGGCAAGGCCATGGCAGGCATGGAGGCGCCGAACACATGTCTGACGTGACGTTCGTCATAGAGTAGTTCGCGTTTAGAAAAAGTGGCTCAGATTGACATGAATGGAGCCTTTTCCTTGCCGCTTGCTCCACCACTTACATGGGTTCTTTCCGTAGGGGGGAGGTTGGTTTTAAACCAGCCCCGGGAAGACCCCTTGTTTCCTTGTTTTCGCAGTGTGGGAGTGCAGCTGGTTGGGTGTGACGGGGGTCGGCGCCGGTCACAAACCAACGGAAATATTCGCAATAAACAAAGCCTGACTGTTCCAGACCCTGGGGCCAAGATTCCGGTCAACAACTTACCCATCACTTTTCCCAGCCAGTTGCGAGATTAGCGTAGTAGAAAAACAGGCTGCGTGTGCGGCACACATGTTGCGCATAACCGTGTTGTAATTGTGTTCCTCGGCACTGTTGCTATATAGTTGGCGTTTGAACATGTGGGCCTGAAATTGTTTCGCGTTCGGGGATCAAGGTGCCGAGGCGAGAGAGGGTTCCAAGCTTCACGTCAGAAGGTTTCTGAGCAATGACAAGAATGGCGCGGCTTGCGCCAAGCATCAAGGCACCCTATTGCAGACAAGAGGCAAGGAGGTGACAGTGAAGCAAGGTGAGCGAATAAGGAAGCAGCTTGTTGTGACGCGGAACGCAGCAAGAGGTTTGTTTTTGCTAGTGCCAGGTCGGATTAGAATGAACCCCGTTTTTCATCAGCTTGGCTCGGACAAACGTCTTCGCCCGACCTTGGCAAGCCTTCCACCCTCAACCTCACAACGCCTGCTTCGTTCAAGTTGAGCCCGGACGTTGGCGCGGACTGGCTGATCGAAGGTCCACTCCTCCCCCTGTTTGTGGACTTGGCGCTCTTGCACCAAACCCATGACAGGCAGGATGGCTGTGACCTTGAGGTGCCTTGGGCTCAACGGTTGGGCAAGACCACTCCCTCCTTCACCGTTCACTTCTGGGAACAGTGTCCAGGAGATCATCTCCTGGGCTGTTTACCTTGTTGACGACCCGTCAGACATGTTTAGCCCGCATTTCTTGCCGCAGGCGGAGCGCCACCATGCCGGGCACGACAAGGACAGCTTCCTGGACACGCTTCGGCAGGACAGGAAGCTGTCCTTGAACCCCCGCAAGGTCTGCTTTCGGAAGCCAGACAGCAGCTTCTAATCCGTTCCCCCTATTAATAAAGGTCTCCCTAATAATAAATATTTGTAGCCCCAAATCCGGGAATACTACTTTTAGAATAGCCAATACTAAACCAATTCTAAAGTAGATATTTTCCTGCCCGTACTCAAATCCAGCCCCATTAGGGGGACCCCGGGGCCGGGAGCACGTTTCCTTTACTACGGTTGTACTACAAAGTTGCAACTTTCGAGCCAGAGCTCCGGGAGCACGTTTCCTTTACTACGGCTGTACTACAAAGTTGCGACTTTCAAGCCAGAGCTCCGGAAGCACGTTTCCTTTACTACGGTTGTACTACAAAGTTGCGACTTTCGAGCCAGAGCTCCGGGAGCACGTTTCCTTTACTACGGCTGTACTACAAAGTTGCGACTTTCAAGCCAGAACTCCGGGAGCACGTTTCCTTTACTACGGTTGTACTACAAAGTTGCGACTTTCGAGCCAGAGCTCCGGGAGCACGTTTCTTTTACTACGGTTGTACTACAAAGTTGTGACTTTCGAGCCAGAGACGTTTCCTTTGAGACCGGCAGGCTGTGCCAACTAACGAATTAGCTACAGAGGCTGGTGGTCAAGGTCAAAGGGTGCCTCAAACCAAAAGCTCCCCAAAAGCAAAGGGTACCTCCGCAAACCATTTTTACGAATAGGGTCCACATTGTCTTTTATTATTGGGGTCTCCAGTAGTAAGCAGACACACACGCACACACTCACGCGTAGCTGGTGGTCAAAGTCAAAGGGCGCCTGAAACCAAAAGTTCCCCAAAAGCAAAGGGTGCCTCCGCAAACCGTCTCTCTTTCTCTTTCTCTTTCTCTTTCTCTTTCTCTTTCTCTTTCTCTTTCTCTTTCTCTTTCTCTTTCTCTTTCTCTTTCTCTTTCTCTCTCTCTCTCACTCAATCCAAAAAGGTCCCTTTGAGTGACCCAAAACCCACAACCAAAAACAACAAAACGTGACCTCAACTCCCGCTATTTAAACTCCTTACTCAGAAATGTGCGTTTGAAGCGATTTTACGGAACGGAACAGGGGGACCACAGTTGCAAACAGAGAACAAGAAGTACCTCCAAAACCTGCCCTCCAGAACCAGGGGACCCCTAATAATAAAAACTGTTTTGCAGGCCGTTTTTTTTTTGGGGGGGGGGGGTCGTTTATTATTAGGGGAAGGGATTATACAAAGAGGCAGATCCTGCGGCAAAGATGCGGCCGGCCCCTTTGTGGCCAAGAACACCTTCCGTATTATGACGGGCAGCAACAAGCCGGCGCCGACGAACAAGTCGTGCGGCGAAACTGGGCCGGGAGCGCGCCGATTCCTGAACATCTTGAACTGCTTCCCACTGCGGTGGCAGATCTCGGCGGCCTCCCAGGACTCAGCTGACTCTTACAGTTCACTCCTCCTGTGCCTTCTGGGCAGCTCGGTTTGTGTAGCTTCTAAGCTTGCTTTGCTTACTTTGGTCTCGCACACCGCCGCAAACTTGTAAAGGCTTTGCTTTTCTCCTTCCTACAACTCAGGACGGCTTGGCACGACTTCATTCAAGCTCCTCCTGCATGCCAGGATTCTGAAAGGCCCAGGAAGGGTCTCCAGCTCTCGCAGCAGAACTTTTGGAGTCGCCTGAGGCGTTCCAGTTTTTCTGCTGGGAGAGCTGGAAGGCGCTCAGCTTCCTCATCACAAGGAAGGCCTGTTACCTGCGAAACAAGGAGGGCATCATCTGGGACGAGGAGGAAGAGCAGGAGGAGGAGGAGGCGGAGGATGAGCCGGCCCCAAAGCGGAGGCGTTTGTATGGAAAGCAGGCGGCGCAGGTGTATAACGTTGCCAATCGCCCTTGAGAAGGAATGTAGACGCGCCAGCCAAGCTCGCTGAGGGGAACCTTTTTCAACACGCTGAAGCCTCACGAGCGCTAACCCTGGCAATCAGTGCTAGACAATATACCGGTTCATTCAGCTTGGTGTTGACCTGTGCAGGGGTTGCGCCGCAAACCGCATGTTTGGCTTTTTCTGATCGGGCTCAGGCTGCTGGAGCCTTTGACACAGGGAGACGGAGCGGCTGGGGCTGTTGGTGATGTCAGCTGTTGGCGGCTTGGGTTCAACCAGCAGGTCTTGTTGTTTAGACTCTGTTTCGTTTGACGATGCAGGTTCCGGGTCTTAAAAGTGTCGCAGCCTGTTGACAGACTCAGAAATATGTTCGGTGCAGCCCAAGCCGGGCTGACGCTTTTTGGGGCTTGGTTGATCAAACTTGGTGCTGTTTCAAGCTGGCGCGGCTTGGCAACCAACCGGACCTGGTGTTTGAATGTGTTATGGTGTGGGCGGACGCTGGGTCTTGTTTCCCCCTCCAAAGAACGCTGAAACTCTGGGCGCAGGTTTTTCCGGGCAGGCCGATTTTCACGGGCGAGACGATTCTTGCTGTTGTAAACTTGGCGTTCCACAGCCACCCGACCATCTCTTTACGTTTTAGGCTTTTGGCTTTAGGTTGGGGTTTCCATTTTTCCCCCAACCTGATTTCCTCCTTGAAGAGACAGGAAACTTGGAGGTTGATGAGGCATTTTGGTTCCCCAGCCACATCAAGCAAAGTGTGGTTTCCGCCAAATCCCCATCCCGCAAAAAACACCAATCCGCTAGGAGTGAAAAGGAAACCAGACACGTTCACTTCGAAGTGAGCCCAGGACGAGGAGATCTTGACTCTGCGGCGGCGCCGGGCGGCGCAGCTGGAGCCGGAGATCCTGAAGCAGCAAATGGATGCGCCACTTTGGCGGGAGTGCAAAAAAAAACATCCGCCGCGTGATTTGGATCCCTAGGCGGGCTCCTTGGCGCTTCGGCGCTGGCCTGCTACTGTCCCCCTTTGCAGCCGAGGTACAGCCCGAGGTACGGCCCGAGCCCGAGGTGCGGCCCGAGCCCGAAGAAGCGCCTCGACCGAGCGAGCGCGCCATGCGCATGCTGGAGAGGCAACCGAGCGAGGCCGAAACGCACCAAATCAGCACTTTTTGGCGACAGCCGTTGCGAATCCGTGCGTTTCAGGCCTCGTTGCGGGCCTCCCGTTGCAGTTTTGGGCTCTCGCCGGCCGCCGGTCTAAAACGTAGCCCCCTTGCGCATTGCATTCACCTCTCTCGCACAATGCTTTCGTTCCCGCCTCGCTCAAGCTTCTTTGGTCAGCCAGTGACTCTGGACAGTTCATGGACTGTCGTGGACAGTTTGGGTTTGGACAGTTTTGGTGGACAAGAAGTTTGGACCCCTGGAAGGGAGTCGAACACATTATTTGCGGGCAGAGTCAGAACAGGGGGGGGCATTCCAAAAACCTATCCCTAGGGTGACTGTACTTATAAGATCCAAGCTGTTCCTTCCATTTGCTGAAGCTTTTTGTGGTCCGTTGGTTTTGAAGGGAATCTCTCGCTATTGGACTTGTTTTTCGGGGGGGAAAAAGCACATGGAAGCTTCCAGCAGGGTTGTGTGTCAGGCGCCATTGCACTTCCTTCTGCCAGTGCCCGTGGCCGGGGTGCTTAGTCCGCAAGCGCGCAACACGCCCTCTTGCTATGCAGATACGTGTCCTGTTTAGGTAGAAGATAGATGGGTTGCACTGGTTTAGATTGGTTTTACGTTTCATTTGCCAGGGCCATGTATTTTTTGAAAACGTCCTGTATGTTTGTTTGTGTTCCTGTTTGTGTTTGTGCGGTTGGTTCTAAGTTGGTACCCTTTTAAGGTTGATTTGAGGACAGCATCTAATGGGCAGGCTCCATACTTGTGATCCAAATCCACATTCGCAAACTGGAGTCAGCGTACTGCAGGAGATTTTCCGATGCTCGGCCAACCTAAGGCAACCCTTTCGCGATGGGGCTTGCTTCCTCGTGAGAAGGAAAACACGAGAAAGATCGCCTCACCGGCCGAATGAGGCCGAATGAACAAAATACACCCATATGTGTTTAAGCCACAATTCTTTTGGGCTTGCCTCAAAACTAAACCACCAGTTTTTGGGGGGCGTTTTTTGGTTTGAGGCAGACCCAGAGGAAAGCCTGGCTTGTCTTGAAACCCCGCCACAAAATGGGTACCCTCAAAAAGTCGCACAAATGGCCATGAAATTAATAAAGGACCCACCTCCAAAGTGGCTGGACAACAATCCGCACGTAAATGGTGTCAAGGGGACCCTAGGTCCCCCAGTAGTGCCCTTTCTCACACCTTTTTTGGTTGGCAGGGTTCCCCTGCTAAAATAGACAGAACAAATTGGCACCAACTTCTTCTAACCTCTCTACTCTAAGACCTAGATGGTGTCCAACAAGGGGCCGCTTACTAAAATTCCCAAATCGAAGGAACCTCTTCCCGGGTCTGTCGGCCGAGGCTCGGTCGATGTTGCTCCGTGGCCGCAAGACGCAACCCTTCGCCGCCCGCGCGGCGCTGGCGACCGCTGCGCGCTGCGCCGTGGCGGCGCTGTGCCACTCCAAGGCGTTGGCTGGGGGAGACTTAGCTAGGTGCCCTTTCTCACCTGGGGAACTCATCAATATTGGAGGGGAACACCCTCTATTGATAAACTGGGGTTGATTCTTATCTAGGTCCCCCAGCTAGGTGCCCGCTCTTTCACCCCCTTGGAGGTTGGGAGGGTTCCCCTACGAAAATAACTAGACCACAGGAAAAAGGGTACCCTCATTCTAACCTCTCTACTGGAGGACCTAGTTAGGATACATTTTGCATTTTACCAGTGACTCGAAGGGAAGCAAACAATAGAATATACATTCTATAACTGGGCCTAATCCTAATCATGTAGGCGTTGGAGGCGTTGGAGGCGTTGATGGTTGGTTGGTGGTTGGTTGGTGGTTGGTTGTGTGTTTTTCCCTGTTGGTTTCCCTTCAAAATCAAAAAAGACACACCTCACAGAAAGAATTGCAATCTTCCTTTTTGCTTAGCCTTTGTGGTTTGTCTGACCTCCCTGGTTGCGCTTTCCAACTTTGGGGGGGCTTTTTCTTGCTGGTTCTCAGCATGGAATGGGGGAATGACCACGAAACAAACCTTGCAACTGGTGGTTTCCATGAAGGACCAAAGCCTGGTTCATTCCCTCACTCCCTCACCAGCAAGTCAAGGGTGTGCTTGGATGTGAAAAGCCCAGGTCAGGTACGTAGATTCCATCACCATGGTCATAACTAACATGTATCTAGGGTAAGCCCCTTATAACCTTACCAAGTTGGTGTGAACCTCCACGTGAAAAATGGGCCGAGATCAAATTTTTGAAGCTACCCACGGCGCGCAAAACAAAAATTTCAGCGAACCGGCGGGGGTTTGAGTCGTTTTTTTGCCACAAGTTACGATCTCCTTTCGGCGGCCTTTGGGTGTGGAATTGTTTGACATCGTATCTCTTGCCTCCACAGGGTTCCAAGTACAAAAGGTGTCAATGCTGACCCCACATGAAAATCAACCCAGTTTGTTCGGGGCGTGCGTGTCCCTAATGTTGACCCCACATGAAAATCAACCCAGTTTGTTAATAGCGTGCCTTTTTGCCCGTGAGATGTGGGAAGGAATGAGGCCACTTGTGGGGAGGCCCTTTTACACTGAATTGATAAACTGGGGTTGATGAAACTTCCCCAGAATTAGGTCCCCTTTTTCCTTTCTTGCTTTTTTGGGGTCCCCTTTGTTTTCCACTAACCCAGGCAAAAAATCGGTGTATATAATATATATATATATATATATATTTTGCGGTCCGATTTTTCCAGCCGAGTAAAATGGGGCCAACATGTCCGTTTTTGGTCATGTCTGCTGGGCCAACTGAAAGCGAGCTTCCGGGGGCCGATTTGGACGGTCATTTTGAAATGCCCCCCTTGTTTGAGCCGTGGTTTAGGAGTGTGTTTGGTTCCTTTTGACGGGGAGAACCAAGTGGGGGCGATTTGCAAGGGAGAACAATTTGGGTTCCTAGAGGAGATGAGAGGGGGCATCCTTGAATGTTTGAGGTCAGAGGTGTTCCTTGTGAACCCGTCCCAGTACTGTTTTCAGAGGATTAGGTTTCCCTAGCAGAGTTGTATTTTTTTCGGGATTGGGTGTTTTGAAGGGGTGTGAAGAAGGCCCCCAGTTTCGGTGTTGTAACAGGCATGCTTTTGGAGCGCTTCTTCACATATTGCGGGTAATTCAAGCAAAGCTGCTTTACTTCGGCCAGTTTTGGGCTGACCATAATGACCCTTACCAGGGGTGGCCAGAAGCCTTTTTACCAGTGCTTGTGGGTATACATTTATTTTTGAAGGGGTGTGTATTCTGATCCATACGGGCTCCTGAAATTGGGACTCCCGCCTATTTTCCCAACAAACAACCGCCAATTTGAAGACAAGATCAGTAGAGCACTTGGTTTGAACAGTCATTGCCCAATGCAGTCAGCCGTATTTTTGCTACGTTTGACAGGTTGCCCTTTTGGGTTTCCGACAGCGTCATGACATGTTCCTGAGGGTGGCTGGCGCGGATGCTACATCACGCTGGGTGGGAACCGCCACGTTTTGATGGGCCCGCTTTGGTCAGGTTGAGGCGGGGTGTATGGCGCTATGGCTATGGCTTAGGTTTTGTTAAGCCTGGGTTTAAGATGGGTTGTCTAGGTCCCCCAGTAGTGCCCTTTTACCCTTTTTTTGGGGGGGGTTCCCCTACTAAAACAGACTACGGAAAAAAGGGTACCCTTATCCAAAACCTCTCTACTGGAGGACCTAGGATGGGTTGTGGTGGGCTTAGACTTGGTTTAGGGTCTCCCCACCACTCCTGGATCTCCAAAATGCATGTGGGCTGTGCATTGGGGTGCCAGGATGGGCGACCATGTATTCAATGCGCATTATGCAATTTGAACCGGATTTTGCTGATGTGCTGCCACCAAATATATTTATTTATTTATGTATATGTATTTTGCGAAAGTGTCGTGCTTACTGGGAAAGTTTCACCTGACCTTGCGAAAGTGTTACATGTTCGACAATCTATATGAGATTTTGCGAAAGTGTTGCTTGCATTTGCTATGACATTTATATTTCATGTTGCGAGAATATTGCGCCTGGCGCAAAGTTCAACCTTGCGAAACCTTTGCGTTGCACTGCTAAGGGGCCGTACGCGCACCCCCGCGCCAGACAAATATCAGGATGGAAGGGGTTGATGTCGTGGACCCGCGAAAACGCGCAGAGGGTTCTTCTCTAGGTCCCCCAGTAGCGCCCTTTTACCCTTTCTTTGGGGAGGGTTCCCCTACTAAAATAGACTACAGAAAAAAGGGTACCCTTATTCTATCCTTTCTACTGGAGGACCCAGTTCTTTTTTCCGATGTCTATTCCCCAGATTTTGACCCTTTAACCTGGCGTGATTTTCCCTTATGTTAGGTCGGACGAAATGTAGCTGTAGTCAAGACACACCAAGACACACCCATGTGTGGTTCTTGTTTGTTCAACCAGGCGTAGCCTCAGGTTGTTGTTCAGCGCCCTCTACAACCATAAGGGTCTCTCACATGAAGTCAGGCACACCCTGCCAGCGCACTTCGAGCAATTCATGAAACAAAGAGATTCAGGGCCAAACAATTGAAGCCTCATCTAGCCAGTGTCAGCAGGCCAGCAACTGGCCGCAGCTGGGCTATAGCAGCATGATTTGTTGGACCTCTCAAAAGCCAGTCGAGGCAGAATGCGAAAATTACCCTAGTTTATTGCCGAGGCTAAGTCTAAGTTATGACCGGGGCTTCAAATGGCCTTGTAGCCAGGCTTTCGGTGCGGCGCCATGCTCACCTTGTCTGGTGCGTTGGCAGATGCCTTCGTCCGCAAGGGGGTGGCCATGAGTGAGTTGGGAGCTTAGAGTGAGAGGAACTCCCTTGAAAGGATATACTCATTTCCCGACTTTAGGTGTTTTTAGTTGGATTAAGTTGTTTGGGCTTCCGAATGTAACCCACATGTGAGTAACTGTTGGATCAGAAAACGGACAGCCCAACTAACCATTGACTATTGATCAAGGGAGCCTTGATCACGGCCCAACCAGTTTTCGTCTGACTCTTGGCTGCGTCCGGGGTACATCAGGACTTTTGGCGGCCCATGGGTCTCTCGACTGTGCTTGTTGAACAGCCAGCCTTGTCAGTCTTGCCTGATGTTTTTGTTCAAACACTGGGTCAGGAACCAATGCGTTTCATTATCCCACGAACCACAAAGGGATGTTGTTTGATATCCGGACCAACTGTGTAACACCCAGAACCGCACGTGTCTTCTGCATTCATGTGTTGTTGACAGGTTGATTCAGTTCATGGCTCATACAAATGTGTATATATATATATATATGGACACATCCATTGCTTGTATGCCCACCTATGTGTATCGACATATTGTACATGTGCTTAAACGTATGCATGTACACACATGCCTTTTCACATGTGCTTACTGCTTCCCTTGTTCACGTTGGGTTATGTTCTTACCTCTTAAACAAACACAACTTATTTCAACTTGTTGGATAACATGGGCGTTTTCTGTCTGTAAAAGATGAAAACTTCCCCAGGGCGCAGGGAGTTGTAAGGGGTAAGTGTTTGTAGGCATACACATGGTCTGCAGTGAATGTTACACATCCCGAGCTCAGGTTCCGGCTGCTGCAGGCGCTGAAGAAGGCGATCCGCAAGGCGCTGCAGCCGCAACTCCGAGAGTCGGGGGCGTGGGGTTTTCGACGTCGAGGCAGGGTGGATATCCAGAGACTGGGACACTCACTTCCCGTGTTGGACTTTAGACTTGTTGGATTGGGACCAACCAAGTGGCGGAAAAAAAAGGTTGGCTACTTTTTCTGGCCAATCCATATACCAAGGAGAACCCCCTAAGTAGTAAGGCCTGACAGCAAGACTGGGATTGAAGTGGGTTGTTTAAAATCTCACACTTTGTCACGGACCTCTGAGCGGCGTGTGACTAGAGAACTGTGGACAGTATATATGGGTCTGTGTTCTTTTTTGGAAGGTGAGAGTTCTGATGTATGACCTCGTGGACCCTTCTGCAAGCACGGAACCATAGGGAACAATTGGAAGCTATGATCAGTACTGTAGTAAGTAGCCGTAGAAAAGGGGTATATGGGTATGTCTGTTTCAGAGCACCCCCAAAAAAAGAAGTGCGATTTTAGTGTTGGTTGTCCTTTGTGCCAGCCCCAAAAAGGGTCACGTAACGAAAACTACTCCAAGGATGAACATCGGCAAAGCCAGGATCCAGTCGTACTGGGGCAAACTAGAAGGGCTCCTATGAGATCCATGACGGCCCACCATAGAACATGCAGTGACACACATGTTGGATGCCCTAAATCTTTCAAGGACAGGAACAAGGCAACCCCCCCAAATTGACCGCAATTCATCATGGTTTTGTGGCTGGGGGTGGTTGATTTGCTCGCAATTCTGTAGCTTGCACATCGCTTGGTACCCACAGCTGACTCAGAATTTCCGGTTCTGAGATGGTTTCTACCCCCAAACCTGTACCCCGAAAGGAAAACATGGTTGCCCTCATGAACCCTTTGAGGGTAGAGCTTTGAGGGTAGTGGAATCATGTTCGAGTCTTGCCCCAACTCATCTAGACTAGTGCCAGGCCAAAGATGCGCCGGGCATCAAAGTTCATGCCCCAGGCGCAAGCGAGACTGCAACTTGCAGGGCTTTGAAACGATGTTTGGTAATTTCGATTACTACCTTTTGCGAAGCCATCATTTTGGGGTAGTGTTCAGTTCAGGTGGACAATGTAAGAAACTAAGGAGCCCCCTCCTGATTTGCTTGGGATAGCTTCCATGTCTTGCCTAGTTAGTTGGTTTCAGATGCATATGTTCGGTATGGTTGTGTTCGTAGCTTGAAGCTCGACCTCGTAAGGGATTGATTGGGTCACTGACGTGCCAGACTAGATGTGGACTGCCCTTTGGCCCTTTGGAGTTGCCTTCATTTCCCCTTTCAGCGATTCGGCATAGAGTCAGATGCGTGCCAAGTACCAAAACGCTTTTGGTTGGGGAGGGCAGCGATTTGACAAAGGATCAAGCGTTTAGTTCAGCCTCCAACTGTCCTTTTGTTTGATGGCTTTCCTACTAAACATGGAATCAGCCAACCCAAAACGCTTGAAACATGTTTTTGTTTTCTCTCTTTTTTCTGCCGGACGGGTCGCTGGTTGCAATGGGCTTGGTTTCAGAGCGATGCCAGCGGCATGCAGGCGAAGCCTTGCCCTATCAACGCCCATTGCATTTGCAGCTGCTGGAGGCGGGAGAATTCAAGTCTAGGTCCCCCAGCTAGGTGCCCCCTTTCTCACCCCTTTTTTGGTTGGGAGGGTTCCGAACCCTACTAAAATAGACAAATCCGAAAAAAGTTGGCACCAACTTCTTCTAACCTCTCAAATCTGGAGGATCTAGTAAATTAGTTAGACCCGCTCTTTGGGCCGCCCACACGCCCAGGGCGGAAAGGATGAGCTGCGCCCGATCCAGCTGGGCCTGGAGGCTGCGGATGCTCGGAATGATGAGGGGCCCTGAGGACTTAGGACTTCCAGGTGCAAGTTGGAACCCCCCCGAAGAGAGATGTGGCTTTCTTTTGGGTGCTGCTTTAAAGCCATGAAGCAAGAGGTACTCGCCAAAATCTAATAGTTCACCCAGATGGAAACCTGCAACATGGCGGGCTTTCGATGGAGTTTCCCGTTCCAAGATTTGACATAACCCCAAAACGGGCTAAACAAACTCCCATGGGAAACGAGAGTTTGGCGGCTGGGCAACCATTTTCTGTGATGCTGTGGATGGACGCAATCCTGCACCACCCAAGAAACCCTGGAATGATGATTGCCCTGTAAATACCAGAAACAGTTTTTTTTGGGGAAAAAAACAAGGTTTCAAAATGGTGCGAAATGGAATGCGTCCAGCTCCAATGGAATCGTAAGGTTGCAACTCACACACAAAAAAAAGGCTCGTTTCCGCAGCCTGAGCTCCACTAGCTGCGTTTTATTTTTTCGTTTCAAGAAAAACACAAAGAAGAACAAGACGTGGTGTCATTTATTCTTGCGCTGGCATTTGTGTTGTCACTCCCCGAGTTCCTGGACTGTCTTTTTTTTACGTTGACTATGAAATGATGTAGATGATCAGGCCAAGTAGACTCACTCGAGTTTCTGGACCGGAAGATCATTTTGGTGGTGAACAATACCCTCCCTCCCACTATCATGGCAACTGAGAGGGGGTCCCTTCAAAGGAAATCTATCTTCCAGGTACCTCCCGGTGCCATATTAGTTGGAAGGGTAAGTTTAGACTTGGTCTGGCCCATTTCGATCGGAAGTTCAGAATGCGCCTCGGTCTCCAGGATAGAGCCCGCAAACAAGGCCATGGGTCAAAACCGCATACCCCCAGTGAACATCCCAATCCCCACTAAATAGACTAAAATGGGTGGTGCACCTATCCCAAAATGGTAGCATTGGCTTTGACCCACAGCCACAAACCAGAACATGATTGAATGAGGTTGCTCGGTTTCCGCTGTGATAGCTTTGGGAGCCAGTATCTTACTCGCTATGGACGTGGCCCTGGATGTGACCCTGGATGTTGCAATTCAACAGGACAATCATCACGTCTTGATCTCGGTGTTGACAGAAGCCCTAATTAGACGAGGAATCAACTCTTTGCAACGTGTACCCAGCAGTTTCACCTACTCTTCTATGAACTGACCGTTTGTCGAGCGGCCCTCAACGCGGGTCCCGTCACATTTGTCAGATCTTTCGTGGGTGCTTCCTGAAAACCAACAAAAATACAGCGGGCTCAACAAAATGGGTGGCATACTTTGCTTGCCCGTTAGCTCGCTTTTGGGGGCTGGACCTAAGGGCGAAATCCGGATAGACTTTTTCGGTGCAATCCATTCCATTAAGGAAGTTAAGTCCTCCAAGTTGCTTAATATGTTGTGTTTTCCCCTCATGGTTGTCGTTGGAAACATTTTTTTTTTTTGCTTGTTGCGGTTTAGTGGTTGAAATCCAACCACTGAATTGCTTTGTGTTTCAATTGTTGCTCCCCTTGCAACGTCAACCAAGTCTGGTGGTTGCAAGGGAATCAACGGAAGTTGGTTGTTGGGAACAGGAACGTACCAACAGACTCCTGGCGCAGGGAGAAGGGTTGCCTAGGGTCCATGCAAGGGTAGCTTGCTGCTCCGTTGCCCGTAAGGAAAAGGCCAGATCCGAGTCAAATGGTGTCTCTAGGTCCCCCAGCGAGTCGTGCCCTTTCTCCCCTTTTTTGGTTGGGAGGGTTCCCCTACTAAAGTAGACTACAGAAAAACGGGCAGGAGGACCTAGGCCTAGGTATGTTTCTTTCTTTTCCAGACGCTTCTTGCCTTTTCATCTTGCAGGCTTTGCGGTCTTCTTTCAAGTTCCCATTCAACAAGCAACGAGTTCTAAGCATATGTGTCCTTTTTGGTTGTTTTGGCAACATGATAGATGGCCCTGGTTTACCAGGTGGTTTACTCATCTACCAGGGCCATGTATTTACCCCAAAAGGACACCTATGGTTCTAAGTTTTTGCAGACAGCTGGATCCTTTTGGTGGTCAAAGACTCACTTGTTCAGTGGCACCGATTCTTTTCCCCTTTCTTTTGGTGGCTGCCCCACTAAAAATGGTCCAAGCCCCAAAAAGGGTTCCCTTTTTTCCCAGGGTCACTGAACAACTGAGAAGCGACTCTTTCTTGGCTCAGCCCATCCGCGCCGAGGACGCCCTGGTCATCTCCCTGGGCGCCTTCGCTTGCGCTCAAAGCGGCGGTCGCAAGATGCGCTGGGCGCCGCGAGGAGACATCCACGTGGTGGAGGCGCGTCGTCTTTGCTTTCCGACGTAACGAGCCCTGGAGCTTTGAGATACCCATTGGGTTGGCTTGAGACACCCATTGGATCCAGATACCCTTATAGTAGCTAGCCGTTTTTTGTTTTTGTTTTCACCAGGTGTGAAGTGATGGTTACCCTCACTCCCATGTTGCCATGTTGCCCCTGACAGGGACTCGGTCCCAAGAGGATATTTTTGTCTTCCAGTTACCCTCCTGAGCTGAACATATCCGAAAAACTGGCTTTTAAAGAGCTCACTTCCTGAGTTCATGAACTTTAAACTTTTTGGGAAGACCATTCTAGTGGTAAATATAAAGTTTGGACTTTTTTTGGGCCATCCACTCAGCAAGTGAGAGAGAGAGAGAGAGAGCGGTTCAGGAGCTACCGATCGGAGTTCCTGGTTAGGAACATGGTAGACATGGGGGTCATCTACCCAACAATATGGGGACAGCGAAGAAGCAGATCCACATGATTTGAGAGTTCGGCCTGGGAGAAGAAGGTAGCCAAGCGGGAACCCCTTCTTCGAAAGCCTGTGAGGGAAATCTGGTGAACAAATCCCTTGTTGAATGGTTTCAGGGAGACCAAACGGTGTAGCAACATACCCCGTGTCCGAAGAGTGCCATTTCGTCCGAGCGGGAAGGTCTATCACATTCATGAGTGCATGTCAACAAGTGCATATGTTTTCCCAATGAATATCATCCAGGGAGAGGGCGCGGTCGACGCGGCCTGGGCTTTTTCCAGTCGCGCAAGCGAGGCCATCGCCATGTTGCAGTGCCGGTCCATTCCTGTGCTCGGCGCGGTCTTTGGCGCTGCTTGATTCTTGACTCGCGAGCCTTTCGCCGGAGGCCTCAGGCGGAGTTGGAGGGTTCGCTGAGGTTGGTGCGGGAAATACGCCGTCGGGCAAAACATTGAACCCGCCAGGGACCAGGGGCCAGGTCGGTGACCAAAACCTTTGTGTGACAGGACCGACAGGATAAATGTTTCTGGAAGGGGCACGCTGAAAGCCCGCGGTGTAGGTTTGAATCCACATTGGTGCCTCCAAGATTCGGCATAAATCAGTTGGCCGAAATGTTGACTCTGGCAAAGTGAAACCTACAGAATCCAGTGAATGATGCCACTCAATTGAAAAGGGTCATGGCCCGAAGTTTCAGCAAGCAGCCGAATCTTGCTTAGCTTCGCTTTTTCAGCGTGGTTGTGCCATTTGCCTTTTGGTTGCAACTTCATTGCGACATAGAACTTACCCAGTACCAAGATGATGAGCAAGAGTTGCTCGCTTCGCCTTGCATGCGGCATGGTGTCTTCGGCAGTTGTCGCATTGCCCCCGCCGCACTCAAGTTGAACGTCGAAGGCTGCTTCGGGTTCTTCGCCTCGCCTCGGCGGTTCGCTGGGTCGCGGTTTCTTTTAGCCATGGCCATGGCGGACGCCAAAATCACACCGGAGGTCCTCAAAGAGATGCGCGGCTTCGTCATGCGAGGCAGCCATTCGGGTGCTTGAGTTGTGTCCGAAACAATGAGCAAAGGAGTTCCCAGGGTTTGTTGTTTTTTTGGAATATCGCACATTCGCAACCGGAAACTTGCACTTCCTAATGTCCTGGACGTGATACGTTTGGGGAAGACCATTTTAATGGTAAAGGACTTCGTTTGGCCCATCCAGGAAGTGAGGAACCAGAGCCTTGTGGGTGGTCCTCTGCAAACTGTTTCTTGGAGCATCAAATATATGGCCACCCTCAAAGTGGAATGCCAAAGCCTTTCACAACAATAGTTTGTATGCCAAACTTCTGGGTACAGCCTAGAAGCACTACCCTGTACATGGCTTAAACGGAAGGTATCCAACAAAGTAGAGTCCGAGCCACTCCGAAATGTCGACTTTAAGAAACCCACAACTTCCCTCTACCGCTATTGGGTTGGATCTTTAGGCTTTAACTTTTTGGATTCCCTTCATATTTCCTTTTAACCAGCAAAAAGTTAAACTTTTTGCTGGGGGATCTACAGCACCCAAGTTCCATCGGAATGTTTTATGGCATTCTCGGGTTCCTTTTCGCTCAATGGCAGACTGGCCTCGGAATAGTGCATAAAATGTGTCCTTTTTGGTTCATTTGGTGGACTAATAGAGGGCGATTCCTGGTTTACCTGGTGGTTAAATCAAATACCAGGGATATCAATCTATTTTCCCAAGAAGGGCACGTATTATAGTGTTTCTGATTGGAGTGGATTCTTTGCTTTGGGCAACTTGTGCCCCTACCAGGGTTTCGAATCCTGCGTGCCGCAACCAGGAAACCCGGCCCGGGCCTGGCGTGGTATTGGGATGTTTTGGGTTCAAGTTTCTTTCCAAACAGGACTGCCACATCCCGCCAGCCTTTGAAATGGCCCAGTGCCTTTTTTGTTTTTCGAAGGTCCCAACTGTTCAGTGTGTCTTTGTTCAGGTTGGACCCAACATGGGTGGTTTTCCTTTTGGTTTCCCTTTCAAACCGCTGAAAAAGGGTACCCTTCCAATGTTTGTTGTTTTGGCTTGGGCAAGCAGGGCAGGTTTAGGGCCTCCAGCCTGCCTGCGTGAACGCGCAAAAATAACTTCGCGAGGCGGGACGAGCATCGAGTTCCGGATAGAGCAGCTTGAGCTCCTGCGAAACATTCTCAGACACTCGGCAAAACAAGATACCTCACAGATTCTCCAAGTGAATCAACCGGATCTGACCTTTTCGTTTTCCCTTCTTGGCCCGTTTTTAGTCATGGCACCAAGAGGTTAACCTTAATGTCCAGGTCCGTTGGACAAGTGAGGGTGATCAGGAGTGACATTAGAACAACTACTGCAATGGTACCTCACTGACGGGAGCTTTGGATTTGGCAAGACCAGGGAAGGAGACGGATGCGTTGTTCACTAATTGTATATATATATATATAGTTGTATACTGCTCTACCAGTTCCAACTTATGTGTAGTTCCCAATTGGGGGATCCCATGTGAGACATACCCATCCCCCCTCCAGAGGAGGATAATTATGGGGAGCGACAGTGACAGTACTACCTCAGGGCAAAACTATATTACCCCATGAGCTTTCGCATGTTTAACGTGTTCGTTTGAAGCGAGGAGAACCCACCCAACGGCTACGCTACAGAATGAGCGCCCAACTACAAACTGTAACCCAGCAAGGGGGAAATCTATCATGTGGGGGAGGGGGGGTCCCACGTTTTGAGTCTTTATAGGATCCCGGGGGAACCTTCAAAGGCTGAATGTATGGCCCCATAGCTCAACCCAAGGCCACGTGACGACTAAATGTGTGTCCTTCTTATGGGACACCCTCCCCACCCCAAAAACACAAACAAACATGAGAGTAGTGGTTTTCCCCAACCAGAAGAGGGTTCCCCCAAACAAAGACAGACCCACATGGGTGCATGCATTCACTTGGAATCTTGGACATCCAAGGTTTGGGCCCCCAATGTTTCATTGGGCCCGTCCTATCCCGTTGCGCGAGGCTGAACCGCCCAAGTGGTGGACATGAATCCATTTCTCCCGGCTACACCTTGGGTTGTTCTTTGAGGGGGCAACCAAAGCAAGCCACCTGGTTGGGGAGCGTTCCCCGTTTTTTGAGGCAAACACAGGGGAGGAGCTGCGATGCTCAAAACACCCCTTGGTCATCCGCCAGGATCCTTAGCATCCGAACCATGACCCAATCGGATCAACTCAACCTGGTTCCAGAGGGTAAAAGGGAAACCACTCCTCCGGCAAACCACCAAACATCCAAGCCAAGTCTTTTTCAGGGAAGCCTGGTCAGCATCTTTCACCATCAATGCTGGTCACCAACATGGAACCCGCCAGCGGGCCCCTTTTAGGAAGATCGTTTTCCGGCACCCGGAGCGGAGCGTCAGGTTCGGCGGTGAATGGAAGGGGCTAGGGCGACGCTGGGAATGTTAATTTGTGTTTTTGGTCTTTGGTTGATATCCATCTAGAGCAAGACGTTGATTGATTTCAGAGTGCATTCCCTGCAAACCACACCCACTTGGTAGTAAGGATCTTTAATAACCTGGGTAAGAGAACCATGACATCCAATCGGCTACTGAGGGTGACGCTTTTTGATATCTAGCATAATGTTTGTTTTGTTTTTTTTTGGTTTTCCTTCAAACAAAAAAAACATCCTGAGACGTGTCCCAGCGAGTTGGCGAGGGGAGGAGAAGGACGCCATCCTGGCGGCGCTGGACAAAGATCTGGGCCTCGGCGCAGACGAGGCCCAGGCCTTGGTCTGGCAGCTCTGCCCGCTGCTCCTGGCGCCTCGGCGCTGAGCGGATGGGAGCGGATGGGAGGACCCACTTTTTGTGGTTGGAATAGTGAGGAAATAGTTCTGGAATATTAGGGGAATACTGGGGGAGTGCTGAGGGAACCCTGGGGGTAAGAGAATGCCAAAGGAATGGGGGGATATGAAGGGAGTAATTATTAGTAATAGGCGAAGGATCGAGGATGGGAGAACGCGCGGGTGGACGCTGCTGGGGCGTTTTAGCTTGGCCCAGTTGCCCAGTGGTGACAATTATATGTTTTCAACTTTTTTGGGGAAGGGCTCCCCTTTAAAGTCAACCAACCAGAAAAGGATGCCCTTTTTTCCCATGGCCCAAAATCAAAGAGCTGGGCAAACCGCTGCTTTTGGTCTTTGTTTCCATCTACCAAGGTGCCATTTTGTGTACCACTTTTTGAGCCACAGCCTACTTGGTTCTTCAACCAATAAAAACATGGCTTTTGTTTCTGGGCAAAGTGGTCAACCCAAATTCTTGAATGTTCAACCCACGTCAGCTCAGCAGGTGATGTCACCACTGTTTTTTTCGGGGACGATCACCCCAGTTAAATTTTGACTTTGGTTATAGCCTACTTACCTGAGGTTGCTTCCCCAGAATTAGCTCCCCTTTTTGCTTTTTTGGAGTTCCCTTTGTTTTCCACTAACCAGGCAACAATGTTGTTTTTTGGCTGGGGTCCG